TTGGTTTGTAATCTTGCTGACTGGTCTTCAGACTCTTGCCTCAGAGGTTGGAGTAGTAGTGCCACCCTGAGCTGCATGTCTCTTGCCCGGCACTGCCCCTCATCTAGCCTAAGGGGTGTGTCAAATATACAGTATATGTATATATTACTATATGATAGATAGGTGCGTACTCTTAGAGAGTACAACCCCTTGGACATATCCATCATGTATCTCACATTCTATCTACAATTATACTCTGAGACCTAGCTCTCAAGCAGGATATCCTTTTAGTTACCAAGTGGAAATCACCAGCGTAATACGTATAGTCGTATACTGGTATATGAAATCACGGGTCAGTCTGGGTTTTTTGTGGGCATTAGCTGGAATGGATTGATGTAATGGGCCTAAGAGGCTTATATATAAAGAGAGTTTATTAAATTGGATTTGTTGATTTTACCCCGTATGTTGTCATCAAATTATTATCCACACACAGCGTTGCCAAACCAGCAGAAAACATCACTATGCATTTGTTCCTGGCCTGAACGTTCCACAAAAGGTGGCCACCTGACGTCATAACGTCAGTTCCAGATGGTGAACTTCACCCTACGAATGCGATTTTATTCTTTAGTATCCGTCCGTTACGGCATTTCTCTGTCGTAAACCTCGACACTGCACTCCACTACAGTTGAAGCTGTCAAACATATGCATAACTCATGTTTGTATAGACTGTATAGGGTCGCCTCTTAGAGGCTACAACACCCTTAGGTATATACCCTTGTACTCTCTCTCTATCACCTACTTCTTCAGTTCTAAGATGGTATCAGCAGTAGGTAGGTCCCCCCCGCCCGCCCACGCTTCCGCCCTAGGACCTACCCCCGTCCGTCGCGCCCCCTAGGCCCCGTCGCGTCACCTAGGACCAGTCGCGCCCCCCCCTGGGCCCCGTCGCGCCCCCTGTGCCCCGTCGTGCCCCCCTGGGCCCCGTCGTGCCCCCTGGGCCCTGTCGCGCCCCCCCCCTGGGCCCGTCGCGCCCCCCCCCCCTAGCACCCGTCCCGCCCTTCCTGGCCCCCCCCCCGTTTGTGCCTCCTAGCCCGTCGCGCCTCTCCTAGCCCGTCGCGCCTCCTGGCCCGTCGCGCCTCTCCTAGACCGTCCCAGCTAGCCCCGTGACTGTCCCAGCCGGCCCCACGCCCGTCCCAACCGGCCCCGCGACCGTCCCAGCCGGCCCCGCGACCGTCCCAGCCGGCCTCGCGACCGTCCTAGCCGGCCCCGTGACCGTCCCAGCCGGCCCCGCGACCCTCCCAGCAGGCCCCGCGATCGTCCCAGCCGGCCCCGCGACCGTCCCAGCAGGCCCCGCGATCGTCCCAGCCAGCCCCGCGACCGTCCCAGCCGGCCCCGCGACCGTCCCAGCCAGCCCCGCGACCGTCCCAGCAGGCCCCGTGCCCCTCCCAGCCGGCCCTGCACCTATTCCAGCCGGCCCCGCGACCGTCCCAGCCGGCCCCTCGTGCCCGTCCAGGCCGCCCCTGCACCCGTCCTAGCCGGCCCCGCGCCTGTCCCAGCCGGCCCCGCGCCCGTCCCAGCCGGCCCCGCGCCTGTCCCAGCCAGCCCCGCGCCCGTCCCTGCCGGTCCCGCGCCCGTCCTGGCCGGCTCCCGTGCTTGTCCCGGCCGGCCCCGCGTCGACTTCCGGCCCTTCCTCGACGGCCCTACGACCGTCCGATCTGCACTCTCCCTGGTACGGTTCTCCACCACCTTTTCACCGCATTGTGCCGCATTGCACCGCACCGCACCGCATTGCACCGCACTGCACTGCACTACACCACAAAGCACTGCACTGCACCGCACAGCACCGTACTGTACCGCACTGCACCGCACTGCATCGCACCGCACTGTACCGCGCTGCACCGCATTGGACCGCACTGCACTGCACTGCACCGCCTAGCACTGCCCTGCAATGCACTGTTCCTGATGGCGGCGGAGCTTCGCTTCGACGCTGAAGGCCAGCCTCTTGAGTTCGAGGCGTGGCTTGCTTACCTCCGCCGCCACCTCACTGGCCAGCGGCAGGATGGTCACCCACTGTCGGCACACCTTGACGGTACGCTTCCCCGCCTAGACCCTCCTGTTGTGCTGCCCGCTGACCCCACATCCGCTGAGCGCGAGTCTGCTGCCACTGCTGCCCTTGCTCGCTCTGTCTGGCTTTCTCGAGACGCTGTCGCGCAGCTTGCCATTAGCAATGCCCTACCTCTGTCTGAGCGTCCCCGCTTTAGGTCTATCACTACCGCTCAGGCCTTCTTAGATGCTGTCATCAAGCGCTATTCCACCCCGCCTGCTGCATCCGTGGGTCGCTTGATCCTCCCGATGCTCTTTCCTGACCTTGCGTCTTTCCCCACTGTCGCGGACCTAGCTGCCCACCTGCGCACTATCGATGAGACCTGGCGCGCTGTCTGCACTGACGCACAGCTTAGAGCCCACCAGCCGCCCATGACCTCTACCCTCTACTTGCTTGCCACCCGCCTCCCAAATCGCCTTACCGCCGCTCGCGACCAGTTCCTTAGCCTTCACCCTGGTGACCTCACCCTCACAGACTTTGTAGACACCTTGACTCTGATTGAGACCCGCCACCGCTCTATCGCACAGGCGAGCGGTACTGTGCCGATCCCTATCTTTCAGGGTTCTGCCCCTCCTCAGTGCACCTTCTCCGATGGTTCTGCCGCTGTGGCTGAGACCGCTGCCGCAGCGCATTTCCGTCCGGGGAAGGGCCGCCGCCCCAAGGCTGGGCGTGGCGGGGGAGGAGGGGGTGCCGGTGGAGGTGGTGGTGGAGGCGGGCCGTCTGGTGCTGGAGCGGACGCGAGCACCCCGCTCGCTCCAGCTGAGCAGCCGCCTCCACCGTTGCAGCAGCCGCAGCAGCAGCCGTCGCAGCAGCCGCAGCTGTCGCAGCAGCCGAGGCAGGCGAGTGCCCTCCCACCCGGGTGGCCTGGAGCTGGTGGTGGCCGTGCACGTGGTGGTGGGCAGGGTGGTGGTTCCGGAGGCGTGCGCTGTCAGTACCAGATCCAGACCGGTCCTCGCCGCGGCTTCGTTTGCGGTAAGATCAGTCACTCCACTCATCGCTGTTTTCGTCGCTTGGACGACCTGTTCCGTCAGCGCTTCGGCCCGTCGCCCGACCTCCCGGACTGGCACAGTTTGCTTAGTCGTCAGGTTCAGATTTTTGACTTGGACATGGATGCCATTGTTGCCGCCCTGCATGTGATGTATGCTGATGACTCTAGTGTGCTTCCCTCTTATTACCCCTTGTTGCCTAGTGTAGATGTGCCTAGCTTAGACCCCCCTGCTGCATCAGGCGTAGGATCTCCTGCTTTGTTTAGCCTCGGTGCTTCCGCCGCTTCTCCGCCGCCAGACGCCACTGCTGCGCTTTCCTTCACCTTGTACTCTGGCGCTTCCCGGTGTTTCTTCCGCGACTCCACTACGCTGACGCCGCTTCCTGTCCCTGCCGCTGTTTCTCTTGCTGACCCCTCTGGCGGTCCGGTAGTCGCCCGCAGTTCCACCACCCTTCCCTGTCCGGCGGTTCCTTCGGGCTCTCTCACAGGTCTGCACATCCCCTCGTTCTCCAGGAACCTAGTTGGTGTCGGCTGCCTCCACGACCTTGGCGTCACCACTACGTTCCCTGGTCACGAGCTGTATGCTGTCTGTACCGAGTCCGCCACTGGTGCCCCCCTGTCCACGTTCCCCCGGGACCCGATGTCCGGCCTGTTCACACTTGACATCGTGACCCTCCCGGCTGGGACGCCTCCCCAGGTGGCTGCGTCTACCCAGGTTGCTGCTGCTTGCTCTTGTCGGTCCCTCACCCACCCGACTCTCTTGTGGCACCACCGCCTAGGTCACCCTGCGCTCCCGCGTCTGCGTCACATGTCCCAGCATGGTCTCGTCCTTGGTCTCCCCGGTTCGTTCCCAGAGTTTCCCTCCTCCCCCGCCCCACCGTGCACACCTTGCGTCGAGGGCCGGCTTCGCCGTGCCCCTCACTCCTCCTCGTTTCCCCCTACCGCCGCGCCGTTGCAGACCCTGCACATGGACGTCTAGGGCCCCGCCCCCGTCCATGGGCCGCGTCGCGAGCGCTACTTCCTCGTGCTTGTCGACGACTTCACGCGCTACACCACAGTCTTTCCCCTGGAGCGGAAGGCAGACGTGCCTGCCGCCCTCATCCCCGTGGCTTGTTCCTGTATCCTCTCACTTGCTAAGACCTTGACCTTGTATTGTCCTATATATATATATATATATATATATATATATATATATATATCTGTACGTGTACTCATACAGGACTTGTGTCCTCTCCAAGTGGCTGGACTAGTAGTGCCGCCCTGGTCATTTTCTTGGCTTGCCTGTACTCCTTTTGACTGGTCTTTAGACCCTTGCTTCAGTGGCTGGACTAGTAGTGCCACCCTGAGCTGCTTGTTCAGGATTTGCACCTATGCAGTCTAGGGGGTGTGTCAAACATATGCATAACTCATGTTTGTATAGATTGTATAGGGTCGCCTCTTAGAAGGTACAACACTCTTAGGTATATACCCTTGTACTCTCTCTCTATCACCTACTTCTTCAGTTCTAAGAGAAGCTTGTCAGAGTCACACAAGATTTAAGGGTGTGGGGGATTCAATTGTGGTGGTGGGGAGGGGGGGGGGGGGGGGGGGGGGGGGGGGCTTGGGTGGCGTTATTTGTTGCCAGTGTGCGACTTTTGTGAGGCGATAAGGCGAGTGCGGTACACAGTTCCGTAACGACGAAACCACGTCGGCAATGACTTGTCCCATGCTTTAAGTTGGTCGCAAACTCAATCATGAATGACTCAAACGGATCTCCCCTTGACCGTGTGTCGCGGTTTTGGGAAACGATTCTAGTTGGGCGTCGAGTTGAGCTGCGATAAGGTTGGGCATCGTTTGTATTGCAACATTAAATGCACGTGTTCCTTATTCTGGAAAGGGAGAAGAAACGGGGAATGAGGTGAAGTGAAAATGCATGATTTGTTGCTGGACTGAGTCGGAGATATTTTGAAGTGTGCACTTATCGGATGCGACCAGAACGGGAGAGAGAGGCTTGATTCGATGTGAAGTGATGTCAACGAGCAGACGCTAGGGCCAGGAGGAGAAAGGAGTGGTGGCAACGGCAAATGAAAGCAGATTGGTTGAGGCAAATTGGTTGGAAACATACGGTCCAGTTTCATATTTTCTACATATTTTGTACAAAGGAAATGATGCAGCTTGTGTACTGTGGGAGTTTTTCTAAATCCCAAGCCCGTTTTGTGGGCAATCACGCAAGAAACCCCATCCCTTCGGACTCTGGGCTATTCGACTGAAACACAGTCCATGAACTTTCCTTGTTCATGCACCATGCCAATGTGTAGGAGAACCATTGGACCAATTCGTTCAAGCAGCAGACTCATTGGCAAGTAAACCATGCATCCTCCCCCCCACCTCAAGCTCCGCGTTTCCGAACCTGACGCGTACACTGTAGAAGGGCATGCGGCGACTGTTCATCGCCACGATGGTCAGTCCATCGACTGACCAGACCGACGACATGTACAGTGCACTTGTCTTCCGCCAATTTCTCTGGCGGCTTCTCAGGGTTTGTCGCTTCTTCTGACCAGCTGCCAGGTAATGCTCAAAAGTTATGGGAAAGGTTCAGTTCAGTTCGCCATGTCAGCTACCTGCTAGGTACCATCGTGGAATCGCAGCCGTTGGTGGGAGCTGAGGCTGCTCACAGCCCGAAAGGATGTGATTGCCTGAAAAATTACGTGGGGCATTGTGATGAGTCGATGAGGGTTCTACCCTTCTCAAAACCGTACGATCTCTCGAAGCTGCTGAGTCAGCTGGATTTTCTGTGGGCATCCCGTCAGTAGGACCGCCAGCATGGTTCCTTTTCGAGAAATTAGCACCAACGCACTGGCAGGCGCTAATTTCTCAACTTCCTACTAACGACAAGCTACAATTCTAATAACAAGGTACAGTAAACTGAGAAAATGGCGGAGGAAAAGTGTACTGCACTTCAAGGAGCACATTGCCTCAAGCAAGGCACGCTTACACTGCCACCAACCGACCCGCAGCCGCCCAGCTTGAGCTTTCAGGTTGCCGCAAAGCCATGGCGGTGTTGGGGCGAGGCAGTGATTGGTCGAGCACATTAGGTCCAATTTAAGGGGCGAACCGTCCGAAAGTGTGTTGCAGGCCTCTGGAAATAAAGGCAGTTACACTGATTTGTCAAGGAAAACAGGGTAAAAGTTTAACCTTGCCCTGCTTTTGACGCATTCAGAATATCTATACCCGTCCATGGACAGGCAAGCCAGAAATGTCCCACGGCCAATTTCCGAGTACGGGATAAACCCGCCCTGTAAAATCTAATGTAAACGTTCGCGTCCCTAGTAAAAAATTCTCCCACTGTCATTGTCAGGAGTGGCTTATTCCGAGCTTGACGAAACTCTTGCCTGCAAAAACAGTCAAACTTTTTAGGGCTACCCAGCCTGGACGATTTGGACCCCGGGCAAACTCGGAAACTGCAGGGCGATCCCTAAGATATCGAGAGGCCTGGTGTGTTGATCGAGCCCCGCCTGGACTGCTCCGTTCCTTCACCCTTCCACCATTCCACGGTCCACCTGAAGGGTCTTGCCCGCAATTTGTAACGGAGGTGAGGGGGGTGTCCTTTCGCAGCGCGTGATTTGTTCGCGGCTCGGAGGCACATTTCGCAGAGTGCGCTGTGCGGGCGTGCAACTGAGGGAAGCAGCATTCACCAGCATGAAACTGTGGGTCTCAAATTTCAGTCTCCCTACAACAATCCATCTGTTGCTTTTCCTATCTGACATCAGCAGCTCTAGCCATTGTGTTTCACCGCTTGTTTGAAATGTCACGCCACCTCTTACCACCACCCACAACATTTAGCTGATTTCGAGCATTTCCCTCGATTCGCGTTCCCCGCAGTCTAATGTAGCATTCTCGTTGTCAGTGCGTCAAGAGTCTCAGAAGCTCGACATGGAGAAAGAAACGAGCGAGCTTCAACATACGAACCCTAACGGAGACGAATTTCCAGAAGTTCACGCCGTCAGGCCCGCGCATTCGGCGGCGCAATATAACGTACTGTCATCGTTACAACGCGATGTGGATTTCTTCGCGATGCCTCCCCCAGCTCCCCGCTTTCCCGCCAACAATTCCGCACCTTGCGCTTCGACTTCCAGTACCGCTACCCCAAGTCCCGGCGCCGCGTCGGGGATGCTTCATCGTAACGCGCATTACTGCCTGCCTGCTGAGCATTCGGCGCGCGTTGACGGAGAGCCCAAGGGTGAGGCGCCGCCGGACGTGATGTCTGTTCAGCTGCTCGCGAGCCTGCTGTCGGAGATATTTTGAAGTGTGCACTTATCGGATGCGACCAGAACGGGAGAGAGAGGCTTGATTCGATGTGAAGTGATGTCAACGAGCAGACGCTAGGGCCAGGAGGAGAAAGGAGTGGTGGCAACGGCAAATGAAAGCAGATTGGTTGAGGCAAATTGGTTGGAAACATACGGTCCAGTTTCATATTTTCTACATATTTTGTACAAAGGAAATGATGCAGCTTGTGTACTGTGGGAGTTTTTCTAAATCCCAAGCCCGTTTTGTGGGCAATCACGCAAGAAACCCCATCCCTTCGGACTCTGGGCTATTCGACTGAAACACAGTCCATGAACTTTCCTTGTTCATGCACCATGCCAATGTGTAGGAGAACCATTGGACCAATTCGTTCAAGCAGCAGACTCATTGGCAAGTAAACCATGCATCCTCCCCCCCACCTCAAGCTCCGCGTTTCCGAACCTGACGCGTACACTGTAGAAGGGCATGCGGCGACTGTTCATCGCCACGATGGTCAGTCCATCGACTGACCAGACCGACGACATGTACAGTGCACTTGTCTTCCGCCAATTTCTCTGGCGGCTTCTCAGGGTTTGTCGCTTCTTCTGACCAGCTGCCAGGTAATGCTCAAAAGTTATGGGAAAGGTTCAGTTCAGTTCGCCATGTCAGCTACCTGCTAGGTACCATCGTGGAATCGCAGCCGTTGGTGGGAGCTGAGGCTGCTCACAGCCCGAAAGGATGTGATTGCCTGAAAAATTACGTGGGGCATTGTGATGAGTCGATGAGGGTTCTACCCTTCTCAAAACCGTACGATCTCTCGAAGCTGCTGAGTCAGCTGGATTTTCTGTGGGCATCCCGTCAGTAGGACCGCCAGCATGGTTCCTTTTCGAGAAATTAGCACCAACGCACTGGCAGGCGCTAATTTCTCAACTTCCTACTAACGACAAGCTACAATTCTAATAACAAGGTACAGTAAACTGAGAAAATGGCGGAGGAAAAGTGTACTGCACTTCAAGGAGCACATTGCCTCAAGCAAGGCACGCTTACACTGCCACCAACCGACCCGCAGCCGCCCAGCTTGAGCTTTCAGGTTGCCGCAAAGCCATGGCGGTGTTGGGGCGAGGCAGTGATTGGTCGAGCACATTAGGTCCAATTTAAGGGGCGAACCGTCCGAAAGTGTGTTGCAGGCCTCTGGAAATAAAGGCAGTTACACTGATTTGTCAAGGAAAACAGGGTAAAAGTTTAACCTTGCCCTGCTTTTGACGCATTCAGAATATCTATACCCGTCCATGGACAGGCAAGCCAGAAATGTCCCACGGCCAATTTCCGAGTACGGGATAAACCCGCCCTGTAAAATCTAATGTAAACGTTCGCGTCCCTAGTAAAAAATTCTCCCACTGTCATTGTCAGGAGTGGCTTATTCCGAGCTTGACGAAACTCTTGCCTGCAAAAACAGTCAAACTTTTTAGGGCTACCCAGCCTGGACGATTTGGACCCCGGGCAAACTCGGAAACTGCAGGGCGATCCCTAAGATATCGAGAGGCCTGGTGTGTTGATCGAGCCCCGCCTGGACTGCTCCGTTCCTTCACCCTTCCACCATTCCACGGTCCACCTGAAGGGTCTTGCCCGCAATTTGTAACGGAGGTGAGGGGGGTGTCCTTTCGCAGCGCGTGATTTGTTCGCGGCTCGGAGGCACATTTCGCAGAGTGCGCTGTGCGGGCGTGCAACTGAGGGAAGCAGCATTCACCAGCATGAAACTGTGGGTCTCAAATTTCAGTCTCCCTACAACAATCCATCTGTTGCTTTTCCTATCTGACATCAGCAGCTCTAGCCATTGTGTTTCACCGCTTGTTTGAAATGTCACGCCACCTCTTACCACCACCCACAACATTTAGCTGATTTCGAGCATTTCCCTCGATTCGCGTTCCCCGCAGTCTAATGTAGCATTCTCGTTGTCAGTGCGTCAAGAGTCTCAGAAGCTCGACATGGAGAAAGAAACGAGCGAGCTTCAACATACGAACCCTAACGGAGACGAATTTCCAGAAGTTCACGCCGTCAGGCCCGCGCATTCGGCGGCGCAATATAACGTACTGTCATCGTTACAACGCGATGTGGATTTCTTCGCGATGCCTCCCCCAGCTCCCCGCTTTCCCGCCAACAATTCCGCACCTTGCGCTTCGACTTCCAGTACCGCTACCCCAAGTCCCGGCGCCGCGTCGGGGATGCTTCATCGTAACGCGCATTACTGCCTGCCTGCTGAGCATTCGGCGCGCGTTGACGGAGAGCCCAAGGGTGAGGCGCCGCCGGACGTGATGTCTGTTCAGCTGCTCGCGAGCCTGCTGTCGGAGATGAGCGACTCTCCCCCGCTCCCCTCCTCCCCGCTTCCATCTCCCCCCCGCATTTCCCCCGTCGCCATCCACGCGCTGCCTCCCAAAGCTTCGCCGCGCAGCGCTGTCACACCGCCAGGACTGCCGCGACGGCATGCGGAGTGCGCGTTTTCCCCGTGTGAGATTGCGCCTGAGGCAACAGCGGGCGCAACACTAGCCTCTCCGCGGGTATACGCAGGGAGGCGCGTGGGCGCAAGCCGTAGGGAAATCGCGGCTGCGGATGTGCGACCCCGTGGGGCGGAGAGCGGCGATTATCCGCTTGCGCGCGCTTTGGCGGAACTAGAGGCGCAGGAACGCGCGCGAGAAATGGCGGCCACGGGGTCACGGCGCGCAAGCACACGCAATGAGCGGGATGAGGAGCGCCGCCGCGTAGACGGCGAGGCGACTCGGAGAGAGCTCAGAACGACAGGTTCGGATTCTAGCAGCGCGCACATGGTGGCGGAATCATCCGCGGAGGAACGCGACGGCGCGGATGCGAGGGGCGGAGGCGGCGGGATTGAGGACATCATGGCGCATCTTCCGCGCTCTGGCTCCGCGTCCCTCGCCTCTGACGCACAGGAAAGCTCACGCCAGGTGAGCAAGCGACGGGGGGGGAGCGATGGCTGCGCATTTCCCTTTCAAAGCGAGAGGCTGCTAGGCAGAGGCGCAGGCGCAGGCGCAAGGCAGAGGGCGGATGGTGGCGCAGGTGGCGGTAGCAGCAGCAGCAGTAGCGTGGACGGCAGTGGGGTGCATTTCAGCGCGTTCCGAGCGAGTCGGGAGGACATGGTGCGCGCCCTCACTGCGCATCTGCGCCGCCCCGCTGTGGCGCCTGGTCCGCATCGCAGCAGCAGCAGCAGCGGCGCTCATTCCGAGCCTGCTCACTCCGAGCCTGCTCGTGCACGCAGCATGGCTGCAATGGGTGGTGATTCCATGATTCGTCCGCGCACGAGTGGTGGCGAGAGAGGCATGGCAGGCGAGGGAGACATGGGCGAGAGAGTGACGATGTGGGCAGAAGAGAGCGGTGGGGCAATGGAGGTGAGGATGTGGGGCAGCAGGGCAGAGCACGTGAGGCGGCGGTTGATGGGAGACGCGGGAGTGCAGGGGGTGGGGCCAGGAATGCGAGACACTGCAGGCGGCCAGGGGCTTGCAGTGCAGAGAGGGGGTAGCAGGGGGCCATGGCCTGACCCCAAGGTCCGGAACCGAGCGACCGTGGTTGGTGCAGCGCGTGGGCTGACTGCAGGCGCAGGTGTGGTGGGTGGCGGGGCAGGAGGGGCAGAAGCGAAGGGGCGGATGAGGGAAGGTGGCGGCAGCAGCAGCAACAGGGCGGAGAGGTGGCAAGCAGGGCGGGTGGGATCCGTGCAGCAGAGGATGGGCCCGCCTGCACCCAGAGCGACCGGCAGATGGAGTGGCGCGGCTCCTCTAGTGCCTCTACCCACGGCTCTTGCTGCTGCTGCTGATGGCGCTGCTGCTGGCGATGGTGCTGCTGGTGCCGGGGCGGGCGTGGGGGATGGCACATGGCCAGCAGGGGCCATCGCCGCTGCATTAGATCACAGTGGTGCAGCAATGCAACCTGCTGTTCTCCCTACTTCTGCCTCCTGGCCTCCCCCCATGCCCCTCCTCCCCCACCCTCCAACTATGCCTCTCCTCCCCCATTCACCCTCCATGCCTCTGCTCCCGCATTCTGCCCCCATGGCCCTCCGCCCCCACGCCCCACCCAGGCCATTCCTGCACCACTCTCAGCCCGGGCCTCTCGTACCCCACTCGCCACCCTCAACTGCGTTCCCCGATTCTCTGCCCATGCCTTCCTTCCCCCACTCCTCATCCGCACCTCACCTTCCCCATTCGCCGCCCGTGCCTGTTGCCCACTCCCCTACACCTCTCCCTGCCCAGCAACCGGCCGCTGTTAACCAGAATCCAGCCGCTTTCAGTCCGCTTTCAGCGCCCATAAGTCCGCTGTCCAATTCCCTTCAAGGCGCATGGCGTGTGGCAGCAGCAGGGCCAGAGGGGATAGCAGCGGTGGGCGCAGAAGGCATGGGCGTGGATGAGGAGATGCTGTGGTCGGAATGCGACGCCATCAGTAACGAGGTCATGGGTGCTCATCCCACGGGTGCTCACCCCACAGGTGCTCACCCCACGGGTGCTGATATCATGGGTGCTCCAGCCCTGCCACAGGTGCTCGCACCGCTTCCCCCCAGCATTTCCCGCACAGGCTTTGACCCCCTTGCCACGTTCCAGGAAGCCTCAGAGCCACGTGGCTTGGCTGGGTCTCCTGCAGGGGGCAGGCGAGAGAGAGGCGGAGAAATGAGGGCGGGGTTAGAGGCAGGGGTGGCGTCAGGGGCAGGGATGGAAGGAGGCGAGGGGGCAGGGATGGGCTCAGCAGGTAGAGTGAGAGGAGGGACAGTCGAGGCAGGTTCGTCTGGTGGAGGTGGCAAGGGCAAGAGTGTGACGGAACGAGCACGACGAGAACGCATCAGGTACGACCCGCAGCAAACGCCCCCCTCCCCCGCCCCCCTATTCCCCACCTCCACTCCGTCCCGCTCCCCCACGCACACCCAATGCTCCAGCCCCACCTGACGTGGCATCAGCCTGACACTTGGGCACAGGCCCGCATCCTTCTCCTCGTCCTCATCCTCCCTGTCTCCTGCACCCTCATCTCAATGCTCCCCTGCCTCCTGCTCCCCCGCCCACCCGAGCAGTGAGGAGCTGCAGCGGCTGCGGCGGGCAGTGCGGGGGCGGGGCGACATGGCAGCCATGATCGACGGTGCGGTGGCGTATGTGGAGGAGCTCAAGGCGCAGCGGCAGCAGCTGCAGGCCACCCTGCTGCAGCACCAGCTCACATGCACGTGCCCCCGCTGCCAGCCGTGATAGGCAGTGCGGTGAGGGGCGTGGCGGCATGGCAGCGGGTGACCGATATGGGAGTGTTATGTGCAGGTGGCGCAGCTCAAGGTGCTGCTGCAGCACCTGGAAGCATCGCAGCTGCAGTGCCAGCTCATCTGCACCTGCCCACGGTGCCAGCCGTGACAGGTAGCACGGTGAGAGCGCGGGGCAGGGGGGCATGGCAGTTTTGTGTGTGGAAGGGCTCCAGGTGTAGAGGCAGCAGCTGCTGCTGTGCACTTGCTGTCAGTGTAAGCAGTGGGGACAGATCTGCCGGCAGCAGGCAGGGTATGGGTGGAGCAGGCAGGGCACGCCATTACCAGTGCCACGATTCTTTCATTGACTACAGCAGTGTACAGGTTGCATTGTGTGCAGACTGTAATGTAATTGATGTACAATACGAGATATAAATATGATGTAACGTAATGCACAGTAGTACCTCATTCCAACCGCTAGAAGTGCGACAGACGGAGAATGCTGCAAGACGTCCGAACACCCCCAGGGGGCGAGGGCAGAAGAAAATCGTCATCATCACCACCATCACTACCATCATCCCCATCAGCAGCACCATCACCACCAGCACCATCGCCATCATCGGTACCGTTACCATCAGCATCATCGTCAGGAGCGTTAGGTGCGGGTTTGTGCGGAGTGAGGGGGTCGGGGAAGGTGGCGTAGATGAAGGAGCGGAAGCGGCGCGCGTAGAGCGACGGGTTCACGGCGGAGATGGAGTGGCCGTCGTACTGCAGGCTCTTGTACAGGTGCTCCACCTTCTTCGTCACGTCGTACTCCTGTGAGTGCGCGTGGGGAGGAGGAGGGAGGGGCGGAGAGGATAAGTCGCAAGGGGAGTTGAGATGGAGTGGCCGTCATACTTCAGGCTCTTGTACAGATGCTCCACCTTCTTCGTCACGTCGTACTCCTGTGGGTGTAGGATGGTGGGGAGAAGAGGGGCGGTTGGGAATGAGGGGAGGGAGAGGGAAAGGAAGGGAAGGAGAACGGAGGAGGTGTAGGACGGAATGGGGAGTTGGGATGCTTGGGTGCTTGCGAGGCATCAACCTGTACTCAGGGCCACACGCCAATGGCTTCATTCATTCCCCCCATGCGCCCCTCACCTGCAGGATGTCGATGATGCCGAAGTAGAGCACCACCTCATACGCCTCCCCCAGCAGCGGGTCCTCAATGGCCCGCCGCGTCCGCCGGTCCACTCGCACGGCGGTGGCCGCCATGCCCTGCCCCAACAGCTGCCCCACCACCCCCCGTCCCTTCCTCCCTCCTCGTTCCCCCCCCCTTGCTCCTCTCCCTCCTTCTCCTGATCCTCCTCCTTCCCCCCCTCCTCCTGCTGCTCCTCCGCCTGCTGCTGATTCAGCTCCCCTTTCACCTGTCCATCCGCCAGCTGTAGCTGCTCCCACCACAGCTGCCGCCCTGGATTCCCCACCCATGCTGGCCTCTGCTGCTTGTGATGTCCCCCCATGCTCCCCATCTCTCCCCTGCCTTGCCTTCTCAGCGCCTCTTGCATTTCTAGACGTGGCGGTTGTGGGAGGGGAGGCAGAAGGAGACGGGGAGGAAGAGCGCGGCAGAGTGGTAGAGGCAGGGGGAGGGTAAGAGGCGGGAGAGTGAGGGGGAGGGCGGGCCAATGGTGGGATGCGGGGGGGCGTTGGATGGCGACGAGCATTGCTGCTGCTGCCCTTGCTGTCATGGGTGCTGCATCTGCTGTTGCTGCTGATGCAACTGCCGCTTTTGCTGTTGCTGTTCTTATTGTGGCTGTCGCTGCTACCCCCCTCATCACCTTGGCCCAACTTCTCCTCTCCTCCTCCCGCTCTCCCCTCCACCTCTCCCACCTCGCAGCTACTAGCCTCCCCGCTCACTTCCTCTATGCTGCTCCCATCAGTGGTGATGGAGTTGGAATGCGGGAGAGAGGGCGCGAGGAAGTGAAGAGGGCTACTGCTGTCACTGCTAGTGGTGAAGGAGCGCGGGAAGAAGTGCCGTGCAGCGCCAGGCAAGGCAGCCACACCAGCATTGGCAGTTGTCGCAGCTGCTGATGCCCCCGCGTGAGATGGAGAGAAGTGGGATGGAGAGGCGTGTGAGGGGGAGGAGTGAGAGGGGGAGGAATGAGAGGGGGAGACGTGGGACGGGGAGGTGTGAGAGGATGTGCTGCCCACTTGAGCCCCCTCCCCCAGCGACCGCTGCAAGGGAGAGGGCGAGTCAGAGAGAATGCGCTGCCACGGGCGGAAGAGCCGCTGCCGCAGCTGATGGGGGGGGGGGGGAAGAGGAACCACAAGGAGGGGAGGTCGGGGAAAAAGGTGGGGAGGGAGGAGTGGTCGCAGGGAGGGACGAGGTTGCACGAGGGGGGGGGTAGCAGAGTGGGATGGCGACCGCTGTGCTTTCGACCCGAGTGCTTTCGTCCGGAGTGCTGCCGACCAGAGTGCTGCCAAGCGGAGTGCTGCCGACCGGAGTGCTGCCGACAGGAGTGCTGCTGACTGGAGTGCTGCCGACCGGAGTGCTTCGGACCAGAGTGCTGCTGACCGGAGTGCTGCCGATTGGAGTGCTTCCGACCGGAGTGCTTTCGACCAGAGTGCTGCCGACCGGAGTGCTTCCTACCGGAGTGCTTCCGACTGGAGTGCCTCCGACCGGAATGCTTCCGGCCGGAGTGCTGCCGACCGGAGTGCTGCCGACCGGAGTGCTTTGGACCAGGGTGCTGCCGACCGGAGTGCTGCCGATCGAGTGCTTCCGACCGGAGTGCTGCCGACCGGAGTGCTTCCTACCGGAGTGCTTCCGACTGGAGTGCCTCCGACCGGAGTGCGTCCGACCGGAGTGCTGCCGACCGGAGTGCTTCCGACCGGAGTGCTTCTGACCGGAGTGATGCCGACCGGAGTGCTTCCAACCGGTGCGCTTTCGATCGGTGTGCTTTTGACCAGTGTGCTTTCGACTGGTGTGCTTTCGACTGGTGTGCTTTCGACCAGTGTGCTTTCAACCAATGTGCTTTCGACGGTCACTCACCCACGGGGGTGAGACCCAGGGGGGTGAGAGTTGGAAAAGATGGCGGCCTTCAGAAGGAGAATAGAGGTACGACTGAGAGTGCGAGCAGCGGACCTGGTGCAAGGGGGGCGGGGCATTGAGCCTCCTTGAGGCAGTTGTGTCAGTCCCTGGTGGCTGGGCCTGCTGCGCCTCTCCCACCTCTCCTGGGCCATCCCTCTCCACGCCGCCTTCCTCCCCATCTCTCGCCTTCCTTTGCCCGTCCTCTTCAAGTGATGGGTCAGCGGGCCCTTGCTCTTTCCCTAGGGTGGGTTGACGCACACAGCGCACGGCACACGGCACACGACACACGACACATGGCACACGGCACACGGCACACAACGCACGGCACACGGCACAGCCACGAGAAGCGAGGAGGGCAATGAGCAGGCGAAGTGGGGTCGGGAGGGCGAAGAAGCCAGAGGGGTGTGGAGGGGAGGTCGGGGACAGAGGGGGGGGAGAGACGCGGCAGAGAAAGAGGACAAGAGCGATGGCAGAGAGGCGAGTACCTGAGGGTGTTATTGTGGGGTTGGGCGCGTCGTGGCGAAGGGATGCGGAGCGCGGGTCGTCGAGCTGCGCGTCGGCGATGGTGACGATGGGGGCGGGCGGCGGGCTGGTGGCCTTGAAGTGCACGCCCAGCAGCAGGCTGTAGTCCATGATGCGCTGGCGCTCCAGGAAGGCACAGTCGGATGCTATCTGCCTGTGGCCGCGGAGAGGGGGATGTGGACAGCGACAGAGTGGGTGAGTGATTGAGGGGCCTTGAGTTGCAGCAGCAGGCTAGTATGCTCCAGAAAGGCACAGTCGGATGCTATCTGCCTGAGAGAGGGGGGGAGGGCCAGTGTGGGAGGGGGAGAGAGGGGGTGAGGGTTAGGGGCCCTTGAAGTGCACGTCCAGCAGCAGACTGTAGTCCTTGATTCACTGCCGCTCCAGAAAGGCGCAGTCCGCTGCTATCTGCCTGGTGGGGGCGGAGAGAGGCAGGGTGAGAGGGGGGTGGGCACGAAGGATAGGAGAATGGGAGGGCCGCGGTGAAGCAGGAAAGAACACAGACCGCTCTCACCACCCTCACCACCACTTATTGCAGCAGCAGCAGCAGCGGGCGCCACTCAACATGCAGGTGAAACGCCACGTCCAAGTGGAGGTCCTTGAGCGTGGGGGTTCCATCCACCGCCACCTTGCTGCAGCCCTGCGACGACCTCTTGAGGTCGACCTGCAGCACCACAGCACCCTCACCAGCGGGACCCTCCCACCACCACTTACTGCGACAAGAGCGGGCGCCAGTCCTCATGCAGGTGGAACGCCAGGTCCAGATCCTGGAGCGTGGTGGTCTCGTCCACCGCCACCTTGTCCGTTCTCCTGCCTCTGAGTCGACTCAAAAGTCATTCTGTGCTCCTGCCCTGCGCAACCCCTTGAGGTCAAACCACCACTTACTGCGACAAGAGCGGCCTCCAATCCTCATGGAGATGAAACGCGAGGTCCAGGTCCAGGTCCTTGAGAGTCGTGGTCTCGTCCACCGCCACTTTGTCGGTGCTGCGGCCCTGCGACGATCCCTTGAGGTCGAAGCGGCGGTGCATGCGCAGCGGTGACACAAAGAGGTTGGCCATCACCACGAAGCGGATGACCGTCTCGCGGCCGCCCGCCTTGGCGGCGACGAGCGCGGCGGTGTGCGAGGAGGCAGTGTGGTAGAGCTTGATGGCGTGCAGCCCGAAGAACTTGGTGAGGAGAGTATGTGGGTGGCGCCGCACGTGCTGGTAGTAGGCAGGCAGCATCCGTAAAAGCACCTGGGATTAGGGAGGGGGGGAATGGGGTGCGGATCAACAAGGGAGGCGGTGTGCTAGAGCTTGATGGCGTGCCGCCCGAAGAACTTGGTGAGGAGAGTATGTGGGTGGCGCCGCACGTGTTGGTAGTAGGCAGGCAGCATCCGTAAAAGCACCTGGGATTAGGGAGGGGGGGAATGGGGTGCGGATCAACAAGGGAGGCGGTGTGCTAGAGCTTGATGGTGTGCCGCCCGAAGAACTTGGTGAGGAGAGTATGTGGGTGGCGCCGCACGTGGTGGTAGTACACGTGCAGCATTCAAAGGAGCACGTGAGATTAGGGAAGAGGGGGGGAGGGGGAGATGGGGTTGGGCTGACAAGGGTGGTGGTAGGCTGGTGGCATGCGCAGGGAGCGAGATACGGGAGGCAGAGAATGAGGTGGTACGGCATGTGATAGTTTTGAGGCGCCTCAAAACTATGAGGTGGTACGGCATGTGATAGTTCAGAGGGCCCTTCCCCGCTCACCTGCTCTTCACCACGCCCAATGGCCCCATGGCCCTTCCCCGCTCACCTGCTCTTCACCACGCCCAACGGCCCCATGGCCCAGGCTCACCTGCACCTCGGCATGGCGCATGGTTTTGATGATGAAGCGGTCGTCCTGCGAGAGGAAGAAGACGCTGCCCGACTTGCCCGGGCTGCTCAGCTCCCTCAGCGCGTCGTCCCCGCACAGAGAGAGCATGTAGTCGCCCGGGTCTATGCCAAACATGGCTCGCAGCGCCCTGACAGAGGAGGGGAGGCAGAGACAAGAGGAGCGAGTGACGGAGTGAGAGAAGGAGTGGGAAGAACAGCGACAGCGAGTAGTCGCCTGGGTCGATGCCAAACATGGCGCGCAGCGCCCGGAGAGGAGACGGGGGTTGAGAGAATGGGACCGAGAGGAGTCAGCAAGATGTGGTGAGAACGAGGGTTGCAAAAGGAAGGGAGAACTGGGAGTTGGGAGACGAGGGGAGATATCAAAGAAACGAGGAAATGGAGTCAGCTGAAGGCAGACATACCAAGTGAGGAAAGGAGTAAGAAGAGCAGGAATACACACCTGAAGGCGTTGGGGCAGCAGGAATACACACCTGAAGGCGTTGGGGCAGCAGGCATACACACCTGAAGGCGTTGGGGCAGTAGGAATACACACCTGAAGGCGTTGGGGCAGCAGGAATACACACCTGAAGGCGTTGGGGCAGTAGTCGCGCCACTTGAAGGCATGCATGGAGTGCGGCGGCGTGGTGGGCGACCCTGCCGGCGGGAAGCGCACAGCAGACGAGTCGGAGAAGTCGGCCTGCTGCACATCCCTCAGGGCGTCCGGGGTGATGCGCCCCACGCTGTGCCTGAGGCGACAAGAGAGGCGGAGAGGGGGAGAGGCGGAGAGGAGGAGAGGAATGGGGACACGGTAAGAGGGAAGGCGGCCTGCTGCACGTCCCTCAGGGCGTCCGGGGTGATGCGCCCCACGCTGTGCCTGCAGGGAGGGAGAGGAGAAGGGGGGGGGGGGGAGAGGAGGGGAGAGAAGGGGGAAGGATGGGACAAGGGCAGGTGAGGGGGCGACTCGGAATGTGAGGAAAGGGAGGCAGAATGTGCTGGTGTTTATGTGGTACTTCTGATTCCAGTTTGGAGGAATATTCCGCATCGCAAGCTACCTGAGTCCGAGCTGCAGCGTCCTCATGAGGTCGTAGCTGCGGTGGCCCTTGTAGATCAGCTCGCCCGCCCGCTTGCCCTCGCGGCCCCGCGGCACGTGCCACCGCTGCCAGCATACGCGGAGGGGCAGAGAGGGGAGGGGCGAAAGGAAAGGGGGTAAAGAACGGGAGTGGGGGGGGAGGAGAGGAGGCCATGGGCGTGTGGCAGCGCAGAGGTGAATGGGCTGACGCAAAGGGAGACGGGCAGAGCGGAAGCGGAGCAGGGGCATGGGGAGGGGGGAGAGGGAAGGCATGGCGGCGCCATCGATGTGGTCCGGTGGGTAAACTTGGCTCGTGGGCGCCTCGTGGCTCACTGGTACTCCTTGCATGCACGCTCTCGTGAAAGCGGCAGTGCAGTGCACGCGTACCGGGAGGTTGACGTGGGTGGTGAGTGGTTCCTGGTTGACCAGCACGCCCTGCACGTACTCCCGCACCATGGCAGCGTCCCGCACCGCCTCCAGCACCGGGAAGTGCCCCACGCTGTACCCGCGCCCACGCCCATGCCCCACGGGCCTCCCTGCACGCGCATGGCCCTGCTCCTGCTCCTGGCCCAGAGCATGGCTGCGCATGTGTGCACTTGGTGATAGGGGGTGTGCCGGCATGGGGGCTGCACTGTGCAATTCACATGCCGCTCCCTCGCCTCCCCTCACCCCCTCCCTGCCTGCTACCCTCTCCTCCTCTCCACACTCATCTCCTTCCAACTCCTCCCCTCTCTCCTCCTCCAGATCCCCATTCTCACCTCCTCTCTCCTGCACCCCGTACTCCTCTCCCTCCTCCTCCCCCTCTGCATACCGCTGCCTGCGCCCCGGCACAGGCCCCATGGTGAGCGCGCGTGTGATGCCCCATGGCGACTGCGCCCCCTCCCCTCCACCCGCTGCCGCCACCGCTGCTGGTGCTGCTGGTGCTGCAGCTGCTGCTGGCGCTGCTGAGCTGGCAGCCGCAGATACTGAGCTGGCAGCAGGAGGTACTGAGCTGGCGTTAGGAGCAGGAGGAGGATCAGGGGGAGCAGCAGGGAGGGCAGCAGGGGGCGCAGCAGGGAAGGCGCGCAGCCCCAGGTGGTGCCTCCAGCCCACAGGGGCCTCCTCCCGCCACACCTTCCAGTTGTCCTGGTGCCCCTCCATATCCACCTCCGACACGTGGCTCGCTGTGACTGGCCGCGACACTGCATCCACCCTGCCATCACCATCCCCCTCGTCCTCGGGCCCCTCTCCCCTTCCCTCGCCCAGCAACGCCCCACCATCAGCCTTCAATCCACGTCCTCTGCGCCGCCGCCCCTCCCTCTCTTGCATCACCCGAGGCTGCAGCGGCCCCGACATGCACTTCCGCATGGCCTTCCCGCTGCCAGGGCTGCCACGTGTGCTGCTGCCATTGGCCGAGGACAGCCCCACGAAGAAGTCGTCACTGGGCTTGCGGAAGTGCGAGAGAGGGTGGCCGGGGACAGGGAGAGAGCGGTCAGGTAGTGCGTGAGAGCGATCAGACGGCAGGTGGGCGCAGGGCGGAGCAGCATGGTGAGGGTTGTGCGCAGCAAGGGGCGAGCGGTCAGGAATGAGAGGGGGTCGGCCCCATGGTCGTACAGACGATGGCGTTGAAGACGACTGTGACCGCGGATACACAGGAGGATGGTGGGATCCTGCATGCATGGACCCATTTGCAGCTTCTCTACATGCATTATCACCATCCCCATCCCCATCACTATCACTATCACCATGGCCATCACTATTGCTCTCCTCATCTTTATCACTGTGACTGCCCCCATCTGCGCCATTCGCCCATCTCCCCCGCTTCACCTTCCCCACTCCCCCCACCTGCCTCCCCCCAAGCTCCTTCTCTCCTCCCTCACACCCCCCTGCCTCCCTCCCATCCACCACCACTGCTGCACTACTGCTTGCTCCCCATTGGCTGCTCTCAGCATCGCTGCCAATCAGCGGCCGCCACATGTCTGCCTCTCTCACTGCCCTGCCCTTGCTCGCCCCTGCAGCCGCCTTGATCCCTTCGCCTGCCATCCCAGCACTCCTGCCATGCCCTTCCAATCTTCTCTCGCTCACGATCGCCATTCTCTCCTCCCTTTCCTCCAGGTTCCCTGCACCATCCCCTCCCTTCAAATTTGTCTCCCTTCTCCCCTCGTCTCTCCCCCCTCTCCTGCTCTCCCCTGTGGGCCGGCCGTGCGGGCTGGGGTCAGGGCGGGGCATGGCGGGCACGGCGTCAGCGGCCAGATAGACGCTCTCTGTGGGCCCCAGAGCCACCTCCAGCGCCCTCGTTCCCTCCGTCAGCCGCTTCTGCAGCATCCGCTGCACGCCCCTCACCCCTCCGCCTCCCCCTCCTGCTGCTGCTGCACCGCCCACCACACTGCCGCTGGTCTGCCTCCGAACCAGCCTCGCCGAAGCTGAGCCCACCGAGCCAGCATTGAACGAGCCTGAGATCAGGTCCGGAGCTTGCTTGGGCATCGAAAAGCTACCAGGAAGTATCTGAGATGCGGCGGCCTTTTCAACCCCGCATACATCAGACAGGATCACTGCCACTGGCGCGGCAACTGTTGCTGTGAGTGCATCATACGCATCATGACTGTGGCCGTTGATAGCACTGGCAGCAATGCCACCATCCCTGTCTCCCACACCAGTCACACCCCCCCCCGCCCCTTCCTCTCCGCCCCCCTCCCCTCTCCTCTCCTCCCCTTCCACTCCCCATCCCTCCTCATCCTCCTCCTCCTCACCTCCCTCCCCTTCATCAACCCCCTCCTCCTCCCCCCCTTCCCCCTCCACCTCCTCTTCTCCCCCCACCTTCTCCCCCACATCCCCTCCCCCACCCCTACTCCCAGCAGGGTAGAACACCCCTTTCCCATCCTTGAGCCCGTGGCTCCACGTGCCCTCATACCGACTCCCGTCCCGCCACCTGAACGCCCCCACGCCGTGCTCCACGCCGCCCTCCCACTCGCCCTCGTAGCTCTCCCCGCTCGCCCACGTGAACGTGCCGCACCCGCTCATCATGCCGCCCTCCCACTCGCCGAAATACTCGTTCCCGTTCGCCCACACGTACCGCCCGGGCCCCTGCGCCGCGCCAAATGACCAGAATCCCTCGTAATAGTCCCCGTTAGGGTACAGCTTGCGCCCCAGCCCGTGCTTCACGCCCGCCGCCCAGTTACCCGTGTAGAACGACCCGTCCACGCCCCAGTAACTCCCCACGCCCTGCATCTGCCCGCGCGCCCACTCCCCCTTGTACCGCGCGCCCGACGGCCACACGAACAGCCCCTGCCCGTGCTTCTCCCCGCGCGCCCACTCCCCCTCGTACACGCTCCCGTCCGCCCACACGTAGCACCCCGTGCCGTGCGGAACGTCCCACGCGGCCCCCCAGTGCCCGTAGTACGAGTCCCCGTTGGGGAACTCGCGGGACACGTCCGCGGAGGCGTCCTCCCCCCGCGCTCCCCCGCTTCCGCCGCGCGCGGCGGGGAGCGACGGGCGCAAGTTGCGGCAGGGGGAGACCGCGGCGGAGGTGGAGGATTGGCGCGGGAAGGCGGGGAGGGGGGAGCGGGAGGCGGGAAACACAGGGGTGGGAACAAGGGAGGCGGAGGAGGAACCAGTGAGGGAGCGGGATCGGCCAATCGCGTTGGCGGAAGTGGGGGAGGGCGCAGAGGGGAGAAGCATGGGGGAGGGCGCAGAGGGCACGGCGGGCGCACGGGGCTGGTCCCCATGACCTGCGCTCCCCATGCGGGCGGACTGGCGGAATAGAGTCACGTAGTAGAGTGCGATCGAAACGGTGGAACTCGGTGAAGTCCGGTGAGATCCGACTGGGAATTGTGTGCTCTAGTGAGCAGAATCGAACGAACCTGCGAACGCTCTAGCGAAAAGCTGGCTCAAGGGACGAAAACGAGTCTCGGTTGAGCGATACGCGTTATAAGCAGGGGCTCAACAGGGCCAGCAGGCGCTGAGCGTTATAGACTGCAGCGGATAATATCTTGCGCGAGCGAGTGGGGAAAGAGCGATGGTCAGCGCAATGGCGGCGAGGCTGACACTGGCTGAATCCAGAAGTGCGACAATTTCTAGGCTTCGTGCGACTGCTCCGCGGCTTCGTGCGACAATCGCTAGGCTTCGCGCGACAATCCCTAGGCTTCGTGCGATGATCGGTTTCATGCAATGATCCTAGGCGTCATGCGACAATTCCTAGAACACACCAGACAGTCCCAAGGCTTCTTGCGAATATCCCAAAGCTACTCTCGCAAATCCCGAAGCTTTTGCAGAGAGGGGGAGCTAGTGGCGGAGATGCGTGTGGGAAAGAGGGGTGGGTGGTGGTGGGTGGGAGGTTGCCACCTCCCCGAGTACAGCCTTGCAAGTTGGGAGGCGAGAGAAGCCATGGATGAATAGAATACAGTCAGCGAAGCGAACCAGAAGTCATGGATGGTCCATCCATGTATGTGCTTCCCTGCAGGGCTCTGGCCAAAAAGTCTAATTACCCTTATGTCGATAAATTAAGAGGTGGGGTTTTGTACTCTTCCAAACCGCTCAAGACATAGTACGTGTGAGAGTTCCTTGGGGTTCTAGGGCTTTTCCTTAGCCGTGGTGAAGGCCATTTGCATTCGATGATCCGTATGCTAATGGGTAATTTTTCGGCAATTCCGTCCACTAACGGGTAATTTTGGGGCCGATTCCGTGACTCAACGGAACACCCAAGGCTTAGCAAGAGCCCTGCTTCCCAGTCACCACAGGGAATGATGGCAACGACTCAGGAAAGGCTTCACTCGATTATGTACAGCAGTTTTGAGGTTGCTACAAATATATATTATTCCATAACAAAAGCAGCAAATTATACATAAAACTGTAATATTTTGACAGGTGGTGCAGGAGACCAAGTATAGAATTTGCAACCACGAGTACTTAACTAAGGATCTTTGCTGGAATGGTAGACTAGTAAGACAGCGGAAGTCTTATCCGAGTGAACCTGAGCACATGAACTTGTGGGTAGTCGAAGGTTGAATAACCTGAGCACATAATTCGGTGGAAAGTCAAGGTTAATAATAGAAAGGCATTACAATGACGTATAGCTCTAGGGAAAGTACCTGTTCGGCTAGTTGCGCGCTATGCGACCTATTCGTCATACTATAGAGTCGCGACTGTTCGCGTAACTGAAGCGGTATGCTGACGTAATCCCGAGACGCGCGATGCTTTGGTGACATCAGCACTCGGACCTGTTCCCTTACCGAGAAACTCGATACTGCTAACTACACCAAAAAACGGAAGTTGCAGGAATGCAAAACTTCATTTATCACAACAAAAACATCAACAATGACAGAACCAAAAATATCGCTGATAAATAGCTTTCCTTCATCCGTAAGTCAGAAAACACTGCCATGTTCGATAAACCCATAGAAACTTATGAGATTTAAAAACTCATCCTTGCCCCTAGTTGTATGCCTCCAGGTCCTTCGGCCCCTTGGCCCCAACGCCGCCCATCTTCTCCCCATTCTGAGGCGCAAACACAAACCCAGCGCCCTCCACACGTGCCATCCCACGGGTGCTGCCATAGTGCAGCCATGTCAGCACCACCGCTGCCACGAGCACACCCGCCAGCACAGCAGCGCCAAAGGCAATGCCGAAGATGGCGCCAGCCGACAGCTGCTCGCAAGTGCAGGTGAGAGCCGGGGTGCTGGAAGGCACTGCAGTGGCAGCAGTGTCAGCCGCAGCAGCCTTGGTGTCAGCAGAAGGGGTAGCAGGGGTGGAGGCATTGGGCAGCTGAAACGTGACGGTGCCATCCTTGTTAAAAATAGGAACGGCACCAGGAAAAGGACCACCGTCGTCAGCAGCACCATCAGCAACACCACCCTCACCAGCACCACCCTCAGAAAACCCACCATCAGCAGCATCGGTGTCAGGTGAAGGGGGGGCGGGGTCGGCGGGATCAGCGACAGGCAGATACCCGATGGTGCCGTCATCTTTGAAGTAAGGCTCCCCACGCGGCGGACCACCGAAAAGGCCACCAGCAGCAGCAGTTTCATTGACACCAGCCCTATCAGCAGAGGGCGTGCCATCGGCGTTGCAGGCAGGGATGTGGGGCGCCCCGCAGAGCCCGTCGTTGTGGTCGTAGAAGAAGGCATCGGCGGCGAAGAGACCCTCGGGGACAGAGCCAGAGAGGTCGTTGTAGGACAGGTCGCTGCGGGGGCAGGGATGGAAGGCAGACGGGGTAGCAGGGGATTAACAACGCAGGCAGGGCGGACGGGAGGACGTACGCAGCTAGAAAAGTGAGATGCATTGAACGAGGAACGCACACTATGACCAGCGCAGGGTGGGAGGGACGCATACTAGGAGAGAGGGGGGCGGGAGGGGATGGGAGGGACGTACACTAGGGGAGAGGAGGGCGGGAGGGAAAGGGAAGGACGTTCATGGGAGGAGAGGGGAGGGCCGTTCATGGGAGGAGAGGGGAGGGACGTTCATGGGAGGAGAGGGGAGGGCCGTTCATGGGAGGAGAGGGGAGGGCCGTTCATGGGAGGAGAGGGGAGGGCCGTTCATGGGAGGAGAGGGGAGGGCCGTTCATGGGAGGAGAGGGGAGGGCCGTTCATGGGAGGAGAGGGGAGGGCCGTTCATGGGAGGAGAGGGGAGGGCCGTTCATGGGAGGAGAGGGGAGGGCCGTTCATGGGAGGAGAGGGGAGGCGTTCATGGGAGGAGAGGGGAGGGCGTTCATGGGAGGAGAGGGGAGGGCCGTTCATGGGAGGAGAGGGGAGGGCCGTTCATGGGAGGAGAGGGGAGGGCCGTTCATGGGAGGAGAGGGGAGGGCCGTTCATGGGAGGAGAGGGGAGGGCCGTTCATAAGAGGTGAGGGGAGGGCCGTACAGTGTGAGTGCGGCGGTGTTGCGGGCCGTGTAGAGCGCAAGGCTGTTGGGAAGCTTGCCCGTGAGCTTGTTGCTGGACACGTTGCTGCAGCCACACAGACAGAGGCACACACACACAGGCACACACACAGACACACACACAGGGACAGGCACAGAGACACACAGCGGGCAGCAGTGGGGGCAGCAGGCGCCAGAGGGGCATTGAGAGAACCTTACCACGAGCGCATGGTTAACAGGATCCCTGGTGAGCAGACTAAGCATCTGAGCAGCGAAGACGTGAGGTGGAGGATTGGAGAAGCAGTATGAGCATGAGCCGTACAGGTATGCGGAGACGTTGGTGATGGTGCAGGCAGCAAAGAAGCGAGGCAACTTGCCCACGAACTGGTTGGTGCTCAGATCGCTGCGCGGGGGGGGGCAGGTAAAGGGGAGAGCAGGGGAGGGATGTGGCGCGGAGAGGAGGGCAGCGAGGGGAGTGGTTGGGTGAGGAGTGAAACAGTTGGCAGGAAAACAACCTTCATGGGAGGTCACGGGGAACGGAAGAGGGAACGGAAGCAAGAGATGCTTACATGTAGGTGAGAGTGCGCGACTCTGCGAGAGAAGGAGGGAGGGTGCCCACGAGCTTGTTCAATGAGAGCTCCCTACGGATGAGGGAGAGAGGAGGTGGGGAAGGAGGGGTAGATGAGAGGGATGGTAAGCATAGGGCGCGGTGAGGAGTACATAGTGATGAGGCTCACATGGTGCAGTGGCATCATAGAGTGGTGAGCGTGATGATGATGATGAGATAGCACGGCGTGATGATGGTGCTGCAGATGCCATGGCATGGCATGATGGGGACGAGTGGTCGCGGCAAGCCATGCACCCATGGCACCATACAGCGTGCGCAGCTTGGTAGCAGAGGAGAACACGTCCGGGAGAGCGCCCTGCAGCCTGTTGTTGTACAGCATGCTGCGGGGGGGGGGAGAGGGAGATGTTGAAACAGCAAGGGAGGGGGAGACTCGCATGGGTACGTGAACAACAAAGGATAGATGGAGGATAAGGAGAAACGAGGGGTGATAGATTCATGGAGAAAAGGAAGGATAGACGGATAATAGGCAGAAACAAAGGACGATAGATAGATGAAGAGTAGAGGGGGAATAGAGGGAGGATAGATGGAAAAAAGAGGGAGGATAGAGGGAGGGAGGGCGGGCTCACATGGAGGTGACGTTAGGGGAGGAGAGGAGGTCCGTGGGAAGCATGCCGGAGAGCTGGTTGGTGGACAGATCCCTGCGCACACAGGCGGGTGGGGAGACGCATGGGGGGAGCGGGGAGAGCAGACGACAGAGTGCGTGAGCAGCAGCAGGACGCAGCGCAGGCATCAGGTGATGGAAAGCGGAAGCAGTTGCATCAGGTGGGCTGGCAGCAGCGAGTCAGCTGAACATGACATGGCACTCACATCTGAACGATGCTGCTGAGGCCCTCCGGCAACTCCCCCGTCAGCCGGTTCTGGCCCAAGTCGCTGGCGGACGGGGAGAGAGCAGACGGTGCGGGAGGAGGGAGGACAGCGACAGAGCGACAGAGCGACGGTACATGAGAGCGAGATAAGGATGGTGGGCTAGGGGGATAAGGAGAAGAGAGAGCAAGGAGACGAACGAGCGGGTGGCGAAGGGGCGGGAGGAGCACGAGTGACAGCACTGACAGGAAGTGCAGGTTGGGGAGCGAGGGGAGGTTGAGCTTGGCGATGGGGCCCGTCATCAGCACGTTGCGCAGCGTGCTGGGGGGGGAGGGGTGGGGAATGGGGGAGAGGCAGGAAAAGAGGGGTGCGATGAGGTGGCGTGGCGAGAAGGGCAGAGAGGGAGGAGTTGAAAGCGGATGATACAGCAGGGACGTGCTGAAGCAAACAACTCAGAGCAGCGGGCGCGTTTCAAGAGCAACTCACAGGCTCTCGAGGTTGGTGAATCCCGAGAGGTCAAGCTCAGCCGTGGTGAATCCCACCGCCACATTGGTTATGTCGCTGGGGGGGGAGAGGAAAGGGAGGGGGGAAGAGTTTTGGGGAGGGGGAAGGGGAGGGGAAGGAGTGGAAAGAGCAGATAAGATAACTAACCCAGCTAAGCGGAGAAAAGAGAGAAACATGAAATGGCTGTTGAAGAGCGATTGAGGGAGCAGGGGAGGGGCGAGAGAGGGAGAGAGGTGTGAGGGAGAGAGGTGTGAGGGAGAGAGGTGTGAGGGAGAGAGGTGTGAGGGAGAGAGGTGTGAGGGAGAGAGGTGTGAGGGAGAGAGGTGTGGGGGAGAGAGAGTGTGAGGGAGAGAGAGTGTGAGGGAGAGAGAGTGTGAGGGAGAGAGGTGTGGGGGAGAGAGGTGTGGGGGAGAGAGAGTGTGAGGGGGAGAGGGCGTGAGGAGGAGAGGGCGTGAGGGGGAGAGCGCGTGCTCACAGCGTGTTAAGCTGCGTGAGCTGCTTGATCGTTTTGAGCAGCCCGGGCTTGGTGATATACAGGCTGCTCAGCTGCCTGCACAGGGGGGGACGGGGGAGAGGAGCAGCGACGGCACGAACAGGACAACACGGGAGAAGCGAGGGTGGATGGGGGAGCGGACTGCGTGGGAGCTATGGCTGAGAAAAAAGAGAAAGAGCAGCAGGAGAGGAAGACGAGCAAGGCACACGGAGAATGATGTGCCGCGAGCAGCACAAGGGGGATGCGACGCACAGCGCGCTGAGGTTCTCGAGGTCCAGGATGAGCGGGCTGAGGCTGCCGCGCAGAGCGCCGCGGATGGAGCTGCGGGGAGGGCGACGAGAGGGGCACGGGGCGAGGGGTGCAGGCAAGAGAAAGGAATCAGAGGGGAGAGGGTAAGGAAAAGGATGACGCAGAAGGTGAGAGCAATGAGACATAGTAGTTAGTGGTAGCAGAAAAGTGCAGGACAGGTGAATGACTAACGTTCCGACATTGAGAGGCGCACTCACATGCCGATGATGGTGTAGTTGCCCGACTCGGTCATGTCGCACATCACCTCGGGCGCCCACCCCAGCGGGCCGCAGATGTCGCCCATGCCGCCCCACTGCGGCATGAACATGTCGGCGTTCTCGAACGAGTCGCGGATCGCCATCATCGCCGCCACTGCCGGGGGGAGAGGAGAAAGATTGCCCGTTAAAGGGGGAGAGGGAGAGATACTAAGAGAGCGGCAGGATGAACACCGGCAGCCGCAGCGGCAGCAGCAGCAGCAGCAGCAGCAGCACTCGGGAGGCAGTCTCACCTTCCCTCTCGGGCGTGACGCCGGTGACGGGCTCGGCAGCAGCGGCGGAGACAGCGAAGCACACAGCCACGGCCAGCACGCACAGCGCAGCAGCGGCCGCGGCGAAGGGCAGAGAACGAGGAGAGGCCATAGCGAAAAACAGGGAGTACTCGCAGCAGCGAAGGAAAGGACGTAAGGAAAGCGGTCCTAGGCCGTGCACGGTTCGCCTTTAGGCTTTCCCGCAGCTGACGGAGAAAGAGGGCGAAGTGGAGTCCCGCTACAGAACGAGAAAGCGAGAGGATGCAGACGCCACTGTGGTGTTCTATCTGTTCTGCCTCGCTTCTGTTCTGTGGTGACATTTATCGCTTCGCGTGGCCTCTCTTCAGTCGGCCCTCGCAGCAGTGCTGCGCGATTCGGCAGCGCCGCGCGGAGGTTAGGTTAGGTTAATAGCGGGGGGCAGGCAGCGGTTACCGCTGCCTGCCAGGGACGAAAAAAATGTAAGGACGACAGCTGGGCCCGAGATTGGCGCGGATGGCTCGCGAAGTGTGCGAATACAGTAACACTCTCGTGCAGCGCCGTTCCCGGGTAGGAAGCGCAACGACCGCTCGCGGCGACAACGGTGGCTTGTGCTCCATGTCGTTGCGGCTAACCGCTGTTGCCCGCTGCGAGACACGCAACCGCAGCCTAGGCCTGGAGTTGACTCGCTGAAACCAGCCACGGTTCGTCATGATGGTACGAGACAAAACAGAAGCGAGCTCTGGGCTATTAACTGTTCTTTCCTACTTCCACCTTTAGCCCCGAATCTAGGTCAGAGCAGTTGCGCGCAACTGCACCGTGACTGGTCGATGGTGTTGGTGTGATAGATGCCTTATTGGGGCGATACGCGACGCGAGATAGTGCAGCGATGCTGGCGACGGTTGGATCATAAAATGAGGTGCAACTTTCTCTGTTTTAGGGTTTGGATTTTGTACGCGATAAAAGAATCTGGTGTGGGAGTTGAGTCAACAAGTGCCTCGGAACAGCAATAGAATGGCAAAGCATGTGATTGTATGCGTACATTTACAAGCAACGGTTACAACACTTCTTGCATCACATACCTGCTCAACTAGGTAACTCTCGGGCTCACGTTGTTGGGCTGAGAAAAAGCCCTTAGGATCTTTTGCAGAGACTAAGTCCCAGCTTGTAGAGACTTGGAGTAGTGCAGCGGAAGTTGAGGCAGTTGAACCCTTGTACTAGTATGTGAGAACAAGTGATTGATTAAAGAAACAAGCATACAGCAATATATAGAAGATAAGAAAGCAGTTGTAGAGTACAGTTACAGGAACGGTTTATCGAGTCGCACAGCGACTCGATTGCCGCTTCGGTTACCATCCGTGATGTTGTAACGGTCAGTCGCAACCTCCAGTTGCGACCTTTCGAGTCTTTTCGCATTCTTTGTCCGCCCCCTCATGTAACCTCCGTTGACTCGCGTGCTCCCTTGTAGTCTTCCTCGAGTGCAGTGTTACACTTCAGAAACGCTCAAGTCCTTTGAGATATTTCCAACACTCCCCTTCGTTTCTGGAGTGTTGACGTGTTCGGGTCCGGTGACGTTTGTTTGCCCGGTCAGGAACATGCAGTAGTCGAATTTTGCTTTCGCCAATTTCTTCGTCAGATAATCTGCGGCCATTTCTGTCGTCGGGCAGTAACTGAGTTGAAGTCTCCCCTTCGCGATTTCATCCTTGACGAAGAAGTACCGCAGGGCGATGTGCTTAGTTCGGTTGGCGAAGCCGTCCTTGTTCGCGATTTTGATCGTAGATTGGTTGTCGCAAAGGAGTGAGAAGGCGGGCAGGGTCGCAATCTTCGCTTCCTCGAGTAACTCCCGTAGGTAGAGTCCTTCCTTGGTCGCAGTACAAAGGGCGATATACTCTGCTTCAGCCGAGGATAGTGCGATTAACTCCTGCTTGCTCGACTGCCAGGAGATAGTTCCGATGGGTTCTAGTCGGTAGATATAGCCCGTCCTAGATCGTCGATTTTCCCTATCTCCCGCGTGGTCGGCGTCGACGTATCCGAGTAGTCGTACGGACGGTGTTGTCGCTTTGCTGTAGGTAAGTCCGATCGTCGGCGTGGAGACGAAGTAGAGTAGTGCCCGGTTGAGCTCCTCGAGATCCTCCTGTTCCGGTTGCTTCAGATGCGTCGCCAGTTGACTTGCACTATAGGACAGGTCGGGTCGGCAGGTTACTGCTGCAAATAGTAGGCAGCCGAGCTTCTGTTGATACTCCTGGATTTGCTTCGCGGGGAGTTTTGCGGAGGCGCTGTTGTTGTTTCCGTAGTGGTAGGGAGTTGAGGCGGTAGCCGGTGTTAGTCCGAATTTCTTCGCGACAGTGCCTGCGTACTTTCCAGCGTGTAGGTAGAACGCCGAGTTGTCTTCGACGATATTTAGTCCCAAGTACTGGGTCACTGAGTCGGACACCGTGAGCGTCAGGTCCCCTTTCAGCTCCCCTTCGAACCGGGTGACGATGTCGGTGGTAGAACCGATGTAGAGCAGGTCGTCGACGTAGACGATGAGCAGAATGTAATCTCTTCCCTTCTGCAGTCGGTACATGCCTTGGTCATGTGGTAACTGTAGGAATCCGATTTTTACGAGCCGGCCGTGAAGGTGCTGCTGCCAAAGCCGTGGGGCTTGCTTGATCCTGTAAAGGGATTTTTCCAGCTGGCATACTTTTGAAGGGTCGTCGATGAATCCGTGGGGTTGTTCGACGAAGATTTCGGCGTCCACAGGTGCGTACAAGAAGGCGTTTGCGACGTCGATTTGCCGTAGTGGTAGTTTCTTCGTGGCCGCGACGGCGAGTAGGATGCGCAGGGAGGTGTGACGGGAGACTGGGGCGAAGGTTTCTGTGTAGTCGGTTCCGTATCGTTGGTCGAAGCCTCGTACGACCCATCGCGCTTTAAAACGTTCGATGGAGCCGTCCGCGTTGGTCTTAATGCGGTACACCCATTTCCCCGAGAGAATGTTCCTCCCGTTGGTGTTGGTTGTCGGTACTAACTTCCATGTATTCCGGTCTTGGAGGGCTTTTAACTCTTTTTCCATTGCTTCCTTCCATTTCGCCTTATGTTCCCCCCCCAGAGCCTGCGACAGGGTCGATGGCTCGCGCGGAGAATGCGGCGGCGGGTGCTGGACGGAGACCCAGAGTCCTAGGATCTGCAGTCCCGTGGCTTTGTGTCGAGGGGAATTTTCATTCCCGGGATAAGCTGCTTCATCACCGTCTTCAGGATCGGGTAAGAAGTTTGGCCCGATGCGTTCGGAAATATTCGAGTCGACGGGGTGTGGTGTAGCGTAGCCTTGGTCAGCGAAGTGGTAAAAGGTGTCGAGGTTGTTGCTATCGAGGGGATTATCTTCATCGAGTGGAACAGGTACGGAGCAGTAGGGGAGTGGTCCGGCAGCCTCCGAGGCTCCAGGGACGTCTTCTTCTGCTGCGTCAGCCTCGGCAGCATGGTCAGCGAAGGAGCGAAGGCCCACGAAGCCGTCGGTGGGGTCGGCTGAGTTGGCAATGTTGTCCAGGTAATGCTGCAGCGTCAGTCGCTCGTAGAAGATAACATCACGTGATGCTACCGTATTTTTGTCTTGTATGTCGAGAATCTTCCACGCGTGAAAATGTTTGGCGATGCCGAGGTGTAGTCCCCACCGAGCTCGTTGAGTGAAGTGTCCTGCTCGAGCTGTGTGGGGTCTGTATTGTACCATGCAGCCGAAAACTCGAAGTAATTTTGTGCTGCCCCTTTTTCCCGTCCACAGCAGGTGCGGTGATGCGTTGTTGGGGAGCGATGACGAGGACAACAGGTTGTGCAGGTGGACTGCATGTGTCATCGCGTCTGGCCACAGTGTGTTGGGCAGTTTCATCCCCAAGAGCAGCTTTCGCATCGTCGTCTGCAAGGTCCGGTTCATGCGTTCGGCGACCCCCTGCTGCTGGTGAGCGTATGGTAGGGACACCAGGCGCTTGATTCCTCTTTCCGCCAGATAGGTCCTGAAGCGTTGTGACTGGTATTCCAGGGCACCGTCTGACTGGAAGCTTTTGAGCTTGGTTCCTGATTCCCGCTCGGCGATGGGGAGCCATGTTGTGAAGGCATCGAAGGCTTGATCGCGCGTCTTGAGGTTGTAATGCCAAGTGTATCTTGTTGCTGCATCGACGAAGGTGATGACGTAGTTGAAGTCGGCTTCCGTGTCGTCTCGAGGCATGTTCAAGATGTCGCTGTAGACTTTTTCCATCGTTGCATATGCAGGCGCGCTTGGATTATGATGGGATGGGAAGGGTTGATGAGGAAGATCTGCTTCGGGGCACGTGAAGCATCGTGCTCTTGGTCGGCGAAGTTCTTGGCCGCTCGTCGTTAGAAGGGCGTTACGTTCTAACACCTCTGCTTGGATTGTTTGTAGTATCGTGCTGTTTGCAGGATGTCCGAGACGTTGGTGCCAGATGTCGTCGGGAGCGCGGTGACCGGGCGAGCGGTGGTAGATGTCGGCGTTGGAGAAGAACGCGACGACCGAGGCGGGACTTCGACAGGCTTCTCGTGTGGCGGGCATAAGTTGGTCTGCTTCGGTTGGCGGTCTTCGTGTCGTCGGTGGTGGTACTCGGCTGGGTCCTGCTGCCGATGCTGCAGGTGATGGTTTTGTTGGGACGCTTGCTGGTACTTGTCTTTCTTGTCTGATAACTGCTAAGGCTCGTGTTCTTTCTGCTGCAGGTATGGTGTTGGAGTGCCAGAAGCCGTCACTGTCGAAGTCAGGATCAAGATCCGGCGGGTGTGTCCAGGCGGCGAATGATACGATACCGTCGCTATCGGCAGTACCGCGGTCGGGGACGAAGTCCAACACGAAGAGGCCGCCCTTCCCGTGGTAAAGCCGGAACTCGTTGGAGAAGGAGTCGCACTCCATGTGAATCCCCTTAGCCATTAGTTGGCTTACGCTTAGTAGGTTGTATCCCAGATTGTCGACGATGAGGACCTTGTTGAGCTGAAGAATAACGTTTGTCTCCATTGATTGTAACTGAACCACGCCTTGTCTGTTTGTTTTCAGGTTTTCGTTGTTGGCGACGGTGATGACGACGTCGCGGTTGAGGCGTCGCTCATGTTGTACGAAGCGTCCGGAGGAGCACATGTGCTGACCGCAGCAACTGTCCAAGAACCAGGTGTTCCGCCCGGTGGGTTCGGCGTTGGCGACTGCAGCGTATGTCGGGTTGACCTGAAGTCCTTGTGAGCGCGGCGGCGGGAATTCCTCTTCGTCTGGTGCGTAAGTGGGTGGTGATCCGGGTGCGCAGTTGTCGATGTGTACCATGCAGTTAATAATATTTGGTGTTTGTTGTGCAGATGTTGAAGAGCGCCTTGGGGGACTTGCTTGGGTTGAGGCGACTTGTGGGTCTGCTGGACGGTAAACGCGAGGGCGGTTGCAGTTGACCTTGGAGTGCCCGGAAGTCTGACAGTTGTGGCAGAACGGCGGCACGAAGGTAGTCCCTCTGTTGTCGTGCTCTTGCTTGCCGCGTCGGTTGTGGTTGTTGTCATTTCTTCGTTGAGTGTAGAAGACTAACTGCTGTTGCTTCCTTGGTTGTCTTTCCTCCAACAGATCCATCTCCTGTTGTTCAGCATGGAGCTCGGCGCAGAGGTGCATCTCCGAAATTCTTCCGTGGGCGCGAAGAAGTGATCGTGTGGTTCTCCATTCTGGCCCGAGCCCGGCGAGGACAAGTGTCACGAAGCTTTCTTCAGTGATTGTTCCTCCGCACCGAAGCAAGCGGTCGCGGAGAGTCTGGCAGCGACTCATATATTGCATTGCCTTTTCCCCGGTCTTCATCTGTATTGTTGTCAGTTGTTGCATGAGTCTGCTTTGCGTCACGCTGTCGTTTGCTTGATAAAGGCACTTGAGATGATGCCATGCGAGTTCCGCGGAGTTCCCATAGCTCCGATATGTTCTGATGCTCTGCTGCTCTTGTGGTGACAGGTTCCGCAGGAGGACTGTATACGCCAGTAGCGACTGATACGTGAAGATCTCTTGTTCCTTTCCAGTGCCGTTGCTTGGGAATGGCAGGGACCCGTTGAAGTATCCCAGAAGATGCGCGGCCTCCATCAGCAGCTCGAACTCGAAGCTCCAGGTAAAGAAGTCGTGTCCGTTGAACGGTGAGGATGTTTGTAACTTGATGACGTGTGAGAATTGAGCCTGAAGACTGAGAATCTCGTTTGGTGTTTGTTGTGATGCAGCTGCTGTTGGTTGGGCGCGGGGCGGCATGAACTCGAACGTCCCCGGTGAAGAATGATACGGCGCAAAGGTAGGCGCTTGGTTGTGTCGCCCGAAGGATGAGTTGTCGAGGCTCATCGGCGCTAATCCCATGTTTCCTCCATTGCTCTGTGTTGAATGCGCAGGTGTTCTTGTCTGCTGCTGCTGGTCGAAGTGCGACATGAAGCTGAAGAACCTTTCCATAAGGTTGGGGTCCACGCTTGAAGAGGGAGATGGAGTAACCATCTCTGGTACTCTTCCCGTTGTTTCTTGAGCAGTCCCGGTCTCTGTCTGCAGTCCTGAGGTGTGCAGACCAGAGTTGCCGTGTTGAGTTTCTTGGCCGCTGGGTGAGCCCGTAGAGACTTTCTTGCCCTTGCTGTCCATGTCTTGCAATCAATGAAGTCGTTGAATTGAGTTGAGTTGCAGGTTGGTGATAGAACGTAGTTGCTGGGAGTTTGGTCTCTGACCAGCTCTCATACCATGTTGGGCTGAAAAAAAGCCCTTAGGATCTTTTGCAGAGACTAAGTCCCAGCTTGTAGAGACTTGGAGTAGTGCAGCGGAAGTTGAGGCAGTTGAACCCTTGTACTAGTATGTGAGAACAAGTGATTGATTAAAGAAACAAGCATACAGCAATATATAGAAGATAAGAAAGCAGTTGTAGAGTACAGTTACAGGAACGGTTTATCGAGTCGCACAGCGACTCGATTGCCGCTTCGGTTACCATACGTGATGCTGTAACGGTCAGTCGCAACCTCCAGTTGCGACCTTTCGAGTCTTTTCGCATTCTTTGTCCGCCCCCTCATGTAACCTCCGTTGACTCGCGTGCTCCCTTGTAGTCTTCCTCGAGTGCAGTGTTACACTTCAGAAACGCTCAAGTCCTTTGAGATATTTCCAACACACGTCACGACATAGGGACCATTCGGTCTGAAGACAGCCCATAAAAACGACGTATGGTAGTACTAAAGCAAATCTCACACGTACTGCCACACACGCAACACAACACGACGCTGAGCAGAAGTGTTGAGGAACCATAACCCATAGCCCATACAGGGCACAATGGGTGTGCCTTTATTGGCTTTACAAGTGGGGTTATCTAAGAATCGCAAACCTAGAGAGCACCTAGATAGCATTCGTGATGCGGGTGCTCACACCACCTGCCCAACAAAAGCAAGCAGGAAGAGTTTGCTGAGACGAAACAATGGCGAAAGAGAACAAGCAGAGGAGGTGCAATGCTAGGGACAATGGGCTTGTATGGAGGATGAGCGCGTGCTTATTCTGGGATGAGCAAACGGGAGACGAGGCATCACCTGGTACTTGTGAGAACTCCACTTGCCGTGTTGTATCAGGGTCAATGGTGTACTCAAACCTGCAGCCACCATACAGACAGGAAGTAAAGTTTAATGCGTGCATGCAGGTAATGGGCAAAGCAAAACTGCAAGTCACAGCAGGTGTCAAAACACACAAACACTACCGGTATGGACTCACTTGTTGCTGAAACACACTTTCAGCTCCCTCCCAGTCGTTTTAGTCGCATCCACCAATACAGTCACAATCTCCGTCTTGCGTGTGCTCACAAGCAGGCAGTCGAACTCCTTGGGCACCATCAGCGCCAGGAAGTTATCCGCCAGCTCGGACAGGTACAGCGACTCGATGATGTCCAATGGGATGCGCCGCTTGAGCCGGAAGGTGTCTCGCTCGATGACGTACACCGCCTTCTCGGTGACCACCAGCAGGCGCGGCACGATCTTGTTGTGCCGGTTCACCTTGGCCACCGTGTCCGCGAAGATGACGCTCTGGTCGCCTGCGCCGGAGTGTGCAGGAATCGGAACGATGGGAGGCAGAGGGATGCGAAGATGGGGAGACGCGGATTTGGTGAATGCTGAGATGCTGAGGGAATGAGGGAATGAGGGAATGAGGGAACAATGGGGGTGTGAGGTCAGGCTGCCTGTCGGAGCGATTCTCATGCCCTGCCTTGCTTCTGCCCCACCTACGCCAATCGACCTTGTTTCGAAACATGTTTAGCGACGTTTAACTTGCTCCGGAGATTAACACCAGCGATCCCAATTACTGCTGCGGGGCCTCTAGGAGCAGTCCTACCTAGGTTCCGCATCCTCTCCCGAGCGACCCTACCTTGTTTCCGCAGCATCTTGAGGATCGCATGGTTCTCGTCGGCGAGTTGCAGATAGTCGCCTTGAAAGACCTTGTGCGTCGCCGCGCGACGTCGCACACGAACGAAGCCTGCTGAGCCTGAACTTGACGTGGTCCTAAGCGAAGTGTCCGGGCCTCCAGCTCCGTTGCTCAGAGCAGAAGAGCCCAGGTCCATAGTCTGTCGTGAAGTGGAAACAGGTCTCTAGAGCCTCGATAACACCAGAAGCGAGTGATAACGAGCCTACGGTCAAAGTGCTTTTGTTCGTAGGCGAAGCACACAAAGATGAAGCGGGAAATGCGGGGAGGGATTGAAGGATGGGTGATGTAAAAGCGGCTTGAACTCGTCAAAGAAATGTTGCTGATTCGGTACAACTTCAAATGAACCCTCTCCGAGTACAGTGTATAGAGAATGCTACAGTGCTCGCTTGCTCGATTTGCCATTTTCGTGCATCTGTTTTTGTTTTTGTTTGGCTCTCGGCTTTGTCACGTCACCGCTGTCGTGCCGTGCTCCCTGAGGTCATGGTTGACGAGGCAGCAGCTTCGGCTCGGAGTTCCGCCGCCGGCGGCCCTGGCCTGTAAAATGGGGTGAGCTCGCTGGCAAGGCAGGTTATGTGAGGAACTGGTTCGGGAGAACCAGGTACAGGACGGTGTGCAGTTGGTAGGCTTTGGGCGGCGTGAAACTAGAGGTTCAGGCTGCGACGGACTGGTTCTGCGCGGTTTTGTATGGTGAGAAAAGGTGGTATATTTTTTCAACCTCCATGCCTCGGTGTTCCTAATCAGTGGCAATCCCTAGGGAGTGGAGCCTTGGGCTTGTTTTGCATTTCCGCGGCTCTGCTTTAGTACAAGCCAGAGGCACTAGGCTTAATAAGTTGGTAGTTCGAGTCGTGGTCAGACGTTAGTATTGAAACTTCTGATTCCAGTAGGCTATTTTCCTGACTGTACTTTATGCTTCGTGTCAGCCGAAAAGTCTTCGATATTCATCAGTAATATTGCTTATCAATAATCGCCTCTTCGTGTACAGGCTGCAATTGCACACAGCTCATACCACGTCACTTTTTCTAACTAACTGACTGGCCTCTCCGTTTGATTTGTTCGGCGCTGAGCGATCCTTATAGTTCCCCTTTCCGTTCGTGAGCCGAGGGAGTAGAAAACAACCCCGTTTTAGCGAGAGAGAGCTTCGTCCAGGATTGGTAACTCATGCCGTCCTCGCCGCACCTCCCGCCATTCCTGATGCCTTCTCTGAGAGTCAGACGGCGCCATCTGCCGCGCCATGAGTGACCGTAACGCGCGCAGGATCGATCACCGACGTCGCAGCGGGTCCGCATGGCTCGGGTGTATCAGACGTGGAAGGGAAGCAATGTGAGCCGCCGCGCACCTCAACCCGCCTCCCAATTTCAGACCGTCTCCCTGTTTTTAACTATTTCTCGACGTCGACCCGTCTCTCGATTTCGACCCGTCTCTCGATTCCACTCCATACTGCTACTCGACTCGTAGACGACCGTCCTTCATGCCGCACCCAACCTTCTCCCCCTTCACGTCCGCGTCTTGACACCCCCCTCTCTCCGCGCGTCCCCGTGCCCGTACCATTCCCCCATTGCAATCCCCCCATTCGACCCCCCAGAAGTTCTGCCTGTGGGGGCTGTGCGTGTTCGGCCCGGACGTGCGGTCCTTGCTGGTGTCCATCTGCCTCATCGCCATCCCCGGCACGCTCTTCTGCGTCTTCGTGGCGTACCAGCTCATCGACAAGATGTGGGGCGGCATCGCCGTGCTGCCCGCCGCCATCTCGCTCATCACTTGGGTGCGTCGATAGCGACACCATCGCTCCATCGCTCCATCGCTCCATCGCTCCATCGCTCCATCGCTCCTTCAATGACGTCACTCCTCTCTTCTCCCTCTCTCCCCCGTCCCCCTTCCCTCCCACCCTACCCTTTCCCCCTCGCCTGTCTTCCCCACAACACCCTCCCCCCTCCCCTCTCTCTCCCCCTTTCCTCCCCCCCCCCTCCCTCCCCCGCCAGGACCTGTACATTCTGCTCTTCACGGCGTGCCGCGACCCCGGCATTGTGCCGCGCAACCTGACTCCCCCGCAGGTCCCCGGCGGGGGGAAGATCCCGCGCAGCCGCGAGGTGGTGGTGAATGGCGCGGTGGTGAAGGTGAAGTACTGCGACTCGTGCCTGCTGTACCGCCCGCCGCGCTGCTCGCACTGCAGCATCTGCAACAACTGCATCGACCGCTTCGACCACCACTGCCCCTGGGTGGGCCAGTGCATCGGCCGGGTGAGGAGATGGGGCAGTGCATCGGCCGGGTGAGGAGATGGGGCAGTGCATAGGAAGGGTGAGGAGGTGGGGCAGTGCGTTGGACGAGTGAAGCAGGCGAGGGATCCTGTTCCATGTTCTGTGCATGTCCTTTCCCTCCTCCTCCCCATGTCTCTGCTCCACACTTACGCACCCTTCCCCCCCCCCAGCGCAACTACCGGTTCTTCTTCACGTTCGTGGTGTCGACCACGCTGCTCTGCATCTTCGTGTTTGCCTTCTCCGCGTACCTCATCAACCTGCTAATGCTCAATGCGCACGACCCTGCCGCTGGCACGCGCACGGTGTGGCAGGCCATGGGGCACGCGCCCCTGGCCGTGGTGCTCATGGCCTTTACGTTCCTCGCCGTGTGGTTCGTGGGGGGGCTCTCGGGCTTCCACATCTACCTCATGTGCCGGAATCAGGTGGGGTGGCCGGGTAATCGGGTGATCAGGTGACTTACGTGTTGGTATGTGAAAGCAGGTGAGGTGGTCGGGCAATCTGCGCACTGGTATGTGAACCAGGTGGGCCAGGCGCCCCTGGCCGTGGTGGTGTGCATGGCTCTCGGGCTTCCATATCCTCCCCATGTGCCGCAACCAGGTGGGGTGGCCGGGTGATTTGTGCGCTGTTATGTGAACCCGCTCGTTGATGACCTTGACTCAGACACAGCTACCACTTGCCTCCCTTTATGACCCAATCTCAATACCCTGCACATCCCTCCATCCTTCATGCTCTCTTCTACCACCTCCCCCCCTCCCCCTCCCCCTCACCCCTCGTCCTCTCATCCCACAGACCACGTACGAAAACTTCCGCTCGCGCTACGACAAGAAGCCCAACCCGTACACCCGCGGCTGCTACAACAATGTCGGCGAAGCCCTCTGCTCCGAGATCCCCCCCTCCCGAAACAACTTCCGAGCCAAGGCCGCCGAAGCTGAGTTCGCCATCTCCGAGCCTCGCCTCACGGACCCCGACCCTCCGCCAGGCTCGTTGTCAGCCTCGGTGGACCCCAAGCGCACCCGAAGCTTGCTGCCAGGCTCGGAAGGGTCGAAAGGATCCAAAGGCTCGAAGGGATCGTCAATCGGGGGGTGCTCGCCTGGTCAGCAGCAGGTGTACGATGTCTCTGAGGAGATGTCACTAAGGGGAGGGGGAGGAGGAGGGGTGGGAGAAGAGGAGGACGATGATGAGTTTGAGTACATGGAAGAGGGGAGGCTGATGGGGAGAGGAGGGAAGCAGTATGACGAGAAAGGGAAGGGAAGACGGGAGGAGACGGACGAGGACGAGGATGAGGACGACGATGAGGGGGATTATGATGAATATGACGACGATGATGATGGGGGTGATGATGATTACGATGATGATGATGAAGATGTGCAGGTAGCATTGCCGCTTCCACCTGGCAGGCAGCCATTGGTTGTGCCGGGTGCAAGTGGGAGAGGAGGAGCAGGGGGGGCAGGGGGGGACAGGAGAGGAGGAGCGGGCTCGAGGAGTGGAGGGGCGTCGGGAAAGGGTTGGCAAAAAAGGGATGCGTGGCAAAGTGAGGATGAGATGTGAGGCGGGTGATAGTGGGCTCAGGGCTGTGGAGGGCGTGTGGGGAGTATTGAGGGAAGGATGTGAAGGGAAGGGTGGTGGCATTAGTTTATAAAGCATGGAGGGGAGGGCAGTGACGGATGACAGCTCGCTACATCACCCATCGTGATGCTCTAGTTGCGGCACTAACCCCAGCTAACTTGCAGGCACAGTTCTGCCTGGCCTTGCTCGACATAACAGCGACTACAACACCTCCATGTTCTCTATGGTGGAGGTATTTGGAAGATTGTTTATTTATTGAAACCCCAGGTGCAATCTAACAATTGAATCTCTTGCAGGCCATATTGATTAGTTGATACCCTTGAAAGAGGGTTCTATAGTCAGGGTGTTTTGGACAACATCCGACTTGTTGAACTGGGAAAAGAAGTGATCGAGCGAGTCACTAACCTGACATGGCAACGGGACACATGGCAACGGGACACATGGCAATGGGACACATGGCAACGGGACACATGGCAACGGGACACATGGCAACGGGACACATGGCAACGGGACACATGGCAACAGGACTCATGGCAACGGGACTCATGGCAACGGGACACATGGCAACGGGACACATGGCAACGCGTACGAAACATGATTTGGCACAACGGAAACACACATCGGCATTTGTCTGCTACTGAGAAGCGTAGTTTGGTACCGGCCCAGAGCCCCATTGCAATGCCCTGTGACCCATGCCCTGCTGCTCCCCTTGCTGCCCCCCTTGCTGCTGCTGTAGCTGCTGCTGCTCCGGTTGTGGGAAGGCCAGCGGCTGCTGCTGCAGCGCCCCTCCCCCAGGGTGGAACTGCTCCTGCTGCTGCAGCAGCTGCAGCAGCTTCCTCTGTGTGGCGGGGGGCTGCACATGGCGGCGCCGCCTCTTCTTGCGCTGCTGCTCCGGCTGCGCCATGGGGGGGATCAACGCCGAGTACGAGTACGGGTAACCCGCCGCCACACTCCCAGGGGGAAACGCCTGCCCCTCCCCACCCTGCCCCGCCTGCTCCTGCTGCATTGCCACGTGTCCGCCATTCATTTGCTGAGCTACTGCCAATTGCCCCTCCTGCCCTTCCTGCCCCTCCTGCCCCTGCCCTTGCCCCTCCGGCCCCTGTGCTTGCCCCTGCTGCCCCTGCTGCTGCTGCACGAGCGCCAGCATCTGTCTTCTGTGCTTCACGCGCCGCTCCAGCAGGCGGTCCACCTCTTCGGCCGAGCAGCACAGGAAGTGGTCGATCACGTCGCTGATGCTCACGCGATTCGCCGGCCGGCACAGCTGCAGGCCCTCCCGCAGCGCGTGCAGCGCCTCGAACACCGTCGGATGCACGCGAATCACGGGCGCGCGCTGCGTGTCGGGGCGCGGAGCCAAGTCGGACCGGATGAAATTGACGTACGACGGCATGTTCGCCAGGCGCGACGGCGCGGTCGACGCGTGGGGAGGGAAGGAGTTATTCGCGGCGTAGTCTGAGAAAGGATGCGCCAAGGCCGGATGCGCCATGGAAGGCTGCTCGCCGTGCGCGTCGTTTCCCGCTGTGTCGTCTCCGCCAGCATCCTCCGTCGTCAATATCGCTAACTCCGCGCCCTCTTCTGCGCGCGCGCCTGCTTCACCGTACGATGCGGGTGCTAACGCGGTTGGATCTGCTGTCGCCGCGGCCAGTGGCGTTGCAACATGCGCCGCAAGTGCCGCGGCATCCATGGGTGGAGCTGCTGGTACTGCCGGTTCGCCTGTGACGGTAAGCCGTTCCTGCGCTGACAGTGCATGCTCAGCTTCCATGACACTAAAAAGAGGGGGAATAAAATTAACGGCTTTTCCTCAACTCTCTAGGCTACAAGATCGTCGTCTTGATGAGGAAACGCAGGAAGTGTAAAGCAGGAGTGGGTTAGCAGGTACACTATTTGCGGAGAACGCAGGAGCAAGCAGGTACCAAAATGCCCCTCGAAATTCAGGCAGAAATTAGAGTGGAAATTCGGTCAGGAACGCGGTGCGACGACAACCGACATGGCAGGTCCTCGGGAGATGAGCGAGGGTTTGTAACACAAGCAGCATAACAAGAAAAGTGTTATGCGCCGGCGAGGTTGAGGAGAAAAGGGCGAGAGGGTTACAACCTCCAACCTGCAGGGGCGTAGGTCCAGGCGCTGAGAGGCCAGATACTGTAGTGTGGGAGAAAAGCCCAGTAGGGGGGAGGCTCACGCTGTGGTGTAGTGTAACAGCAACAGGGCGCAGCAGACGAGCAAGAGCCCCATGGCGAGGGTTTGGCGGATGTAACTGACGCGGGTAACAGGGGGATGAGTAACCGTAGACACGTGTGAGGCCATCAGGGAGGTTCGTGTGTTTGAATGGGGGGATGTGACTGTAACAGCTGTCACGAATATATGGAGGTACAGTGGAAACAAATTGAATACACGTGTATATTGAATATAGTACACTTACGATTGAACTGATAATGCTGACGCGAAAGGCCTTCAACTTTCGCTCAGCCGAAGTCTGGTGGTTTGCGACCCCTGTAGTCGTCCATGATTTCGCCTAGCCCTACCTGGCCATTCAGAGAAGATCGTCCTCTCCAACATGCGACTTGGACCGGGTCGCACGCACTCGCAAACGACCAGCGCCCCCTCCCTTCGGTCCAGCCCTCCGCGTGGGACAAGTTGAACCAGTCGCAGGGGAGGAATGCGGCGGGCGCCAATGGGGAGGGGAAGGCGAGGGGCATGCGATGCGACATGCAGCCTTCGCAATTTTTGAGGCTACTGCACGCGCACAAGCACTATGATGGGAGGGTGGTCAAACCACACACAAGCACAATCGGCCGCACACTCACAGTACAATCACAATCGCCAGGGACCTTCTGCTTTCTCCTCCTCACTCCTCAAGTGCTCTCTAGTCAACTGGCAAGGTTGAATATATTTCTTCAGCAAGTTCTTACCACCCTGCTTGTTCCTGACACCCCGCAGGTGCTAGGAGTAGCCCCCTCCACGATACTCTCGACCGCAATTCTCCCTTGCGAAGCTCTCGGAGCTGTGTCTAGCCGTGCGAGCATGGCACCTCTTCCGGCGCCGTCGCTCGTCTGCATGTGCAGGGCTGGCGGCGCGTTGAGAGGAACATTCCCCGCTGCCGCCTCGCTCTCGTCCCCGTCGCGGGCGTGCGCGCCCCACTCGTGCGCCGCATGCAGCGTCGTTCCACCCCCTTCCAAGAGCTACGCCGCCGCCGCCAAGAGCTTCGTGCTCGCGAGGCTCTTTCCGTCCCCGCACAGCCGCGCGCAAGGTGGGTTTGCGCGCGCAAATGACGCACGTTATTTACACTCGAGCTGACGCAATCGCGGTTTTACTCGTGTCGTGCTGCCTTTCCTCCTGTCTTCCCTTCATTTCGACTATACATTCAAACCGCCCTTCGTTTCGACTCACCCCTCCCCGCCCCACCATCCTGCCGCCTCCGCACAGCCAATTCGCTGCGCATCTCGCCCGCTTCTTCCGCCTCCGCTTCTGCCAACCTCACCGGCGGCGAACGAGACCCCTCCGAGGATGACGTGGAAGCGCCCACACCTCCGGACCACAAGAAGACCGCCCCCATCCCCGCTGCTAGCACATCCGCTATCGCCTCTCTCCGCTCGCTGTTCAACCTGGAGAAGCACTACGCATTCTACGGGTCGTACCACGACGACGCGGCGAACAAGGCCATCCACATGGTGTTCGTGTGGCCCATCCTCTTCTCCGCGCTCGTCCTCCTGCAGTACACGCCGTCCTTAATCTCCCTTAGCCACCCGCTCCTCGCCGTCCTTACTCGGCTCGTGCCGCAGCTGCCTCTACCGCTCCCGCTCGCGTTCCCCGGGAACGGGCTGGTCTTTAACGCCGCGGCGCTAGTCTCCGTGATCTACGCGGCCTTCTACATCGCCATGGAGCGGCGGTCGGGGTCGCTTGCAGCGCTACTGGTGGGCGGGTGCTTCGTGGGGTCGCGGGCGGTGATTAAAGCTGTGGGCGCAAGCAAGGCGTGGAAGGTGAGCGCGCGACTGCCAGGGGGGCAAGAGGCGGAAAGTCAAAGGGGGAAGGTACAGGGAAGATTGAGGAGAGAGAGTGTCGGGGGGGGGGGGGTTGAGAAGATGGGGGGTTGAGCCATTGAACGCGAGGCATGGTGGGGAGGGGAATGAATGACGCCATGGATGCGTCCCAGCATCACCTTCACCATGCCTAAACTATGCCTCACACCTGCCTTCGCCCACCGTTTCTCCCCTTTCTCGTCTCTCCCTGTCGCCCTCCCTTGTCCCCCTCCCCTGCCATCAGCTCGCTGTCATCGCCCAGGTGGTGTCATGGGCCATGCAATTCGTGGGCCATGGCGTCTTCGAGGTCAGACTCCTCCCCTCCAGATGACCATTTTACTGCGCTGATTGTTGCGTGCTGCTCTTTCTCTGCATCTGCATGCTGTCCCTCTCTCCATCAGCTGTTCACGTGCATTCAGTCCTCGAGCCAGCATTCCCGCCGCTCATTTCCTTGCCCGTCTGTTCCCCTCCCTCTTTCAGAAGAGGGCGCCTGCACTAGTGGACAACCTGGCACAGGCATTGCTTATGGCGCCACTCTTTGTTCTCCTGGAGGTGAGGATTCCCGCATTCCTCTTAGTGTCAGGGTTCATGGTCTCTGTCCGTTCTGTGTGCTGGTTCAGCTTCTAATCTGGTTACCTTGTTTCCGTGCTACAGGGTCTGGAACGGTTTGGATTTGAGCCATACCCTGGATTCCGCCAGCGAGTGAGGGCCATGGTTGCTTACCGAATCGCGGAGCATCAGCGGGTGAAAGTGCAGAAATGAGAGCCTCCCTGTGAGAATGTGGAGAACTTCCCACAGGTGTTCTCATTCCAGGAGTTAGTGTACAGTAGAAGCATGTTGCCTGTGCTGCTTTTTTCTGTAGGTGCTCTTTGCTTTCCCACCTTGTGCATAATTGTCAAACTAGGAACTAGGATGCCATGAAAGTGACGTGAGGTTTTAGGAGCTAGGAGAACTAGGAGGGTGAGATTTGACGAGAGAAAAGAGAGTTGACTAGGAAGAGGGATAAAGGGAGGGGTGTTCTACCCTCTACACTAATGTTCAGTAACGTCTAATAAGCCTACATTTATATACGAACATATATAATTTAAATGATATTTTTTTAAGTGTTACACACTTTCTAAAATTGTGTATTGTGAAAGTGGAGACGTGGCCAGCACAGCTAAGGTAGCGGCGCGCCACTACTCACCCTCTTTTTGCCTACAAAAGAGGGACGTGAGGCCAGTTGGCCTCACCCACGTAATTCATTTTCAGTTTATAGTTTGAGTTCCCCCCCACCCTCCCTCCAATGTATGTGCGCTTAGCGACGAGAACTATGTAACCACACATCTGAAATGAAGCACGCTGCCTTTGCAAGATGGACTAAGCAACTTTCACAATGACACCCTTTAGGTTTGGTAGCACAAGGTGTTGAGTGACCCGCTGGGGTTGCCCTTGAGATCCTCGGGGAAGGGCCACAGGTGCAGAGCCTGGGGGGCTATGGGCGCACTTACCCGCTATTTAACAAGCCCTTTTAACCCAGTGGTTAGTTGCTGGGTTTCTGACACAAGGGCCCACACACCCCCACACCCCCTAACCTAGCACCCCCATTCCCAACAGCCACAACTACTCCAGCAGGGCCAACCCAAGGCCCTGGAGATGGCGACGGCGGCAGTCCCGGTAGCGGCGACAGCGATGGCGACGGCGGCAACAGGTCTGCGGCGACGACAGCGGCGACGGCGACGGCTTCGGCTTACAACTGCGGTAGCGGCAGCGGCCCCCGCCCTTTCGGCGGCATGTCCAAACTCCGCAACGGGGGGACGACCGGCGAGAGTCAGGCGGCGGCTGTGGCGAAGAGGAGACAGAGGGAAGGGGGGAAGGGGCGGGGCTTCGGATCTTCAGCGCGGCGCCATTGCTGGCGCGGTGCTTACTTGCGTACTGGCGGGCTGCAAGTCCAGCAGCGACGCAGGTGGTGCGCGACGGCAACAGGCTGACGACACCGCCACGGCACCACTATGACGCTACCACAGCGTGGCGTCGGAGCCGCGGCTGCTCGTCGACGATGAGACGACAGCACACAGAGGCCGCCGCGGCATCTCGGAAAATGTGCCAAGGCGGCAGGCAAACAGAAGGCCGCGACGGCGGCCAAGTAAGGACGGGTACGCAGCGGAAGCGTGGAGAGCAGGCCCGGGAAGGGCGTCCTGCTCTGAAACCATGTCAAACTAGGAACTAGAGTCAACTTATACATATGATGTATGTAGAAGTTATAGGCTAGCCTAGATGTGTGCTTCTAGTGAGTACAACCCCAACAGGTACATGTTCTAGGTTTCTCACACTAGTCCATTCATTCTCTCTTTCTAACATGGTATCATGAGTAGGTTCGGTTCCTCTCGCCCGCCCACGCTTCCGCCCTAGGCCCTAGCCGCCCTCGTGACCCATCCCTAGCTGGCCCTCTCCCCCCTGGCCGCCCCGTCCGCCCCTAGCCGGCCCCCTGGCCGTCGCGCCCGCCCCTAGCTGGCCCCCTGGCCGTCGCGTCCGCCCCTAGCCGGCCCCCTGGCCGTCGCGTCCGCCCCTAGCCGGCCCCCCTGGCCGTCGCGCCCGCCCCTCGCTGACCCCCTGGCCGTCGCGTCCGCCCCTAGCCGGCCCCCTGGCCGTCGCGTCCGCCCCTAGCCGCCCCCCTGGCCGTCGCGCACGCCCTTAGCTAGCCCCCTGGCCGTCGCGTTCGCCCCTAGCCGGCCCCCTGGCCGTCGCGTACACCCCTAGCCGGCCCCCTGGCCGTCGCGTCCGCCCCTAGCCGGCCCCCTGGACGTCGCGCCCACCCTTAGCTGGCCCCCTGGCCTTCGCGCCCGCCCTTAGCTGGCCCTCTGGCCGTCGCGTCCGCCCCTAGCCGCCCCCCTGGCCGTCACGCCCGCTCCTAGCTGGCCCCCTAGCCGTCGCGTCCGCCCCTAGCCGGCCCCCTGGCCGTCGCGTCCGCCCATAGCCGGCCCCCTGGCCGTCGCGCCCGCCCTTAGCTGGCCCCCTAGCCATTGCGTCCGCCCCTAGCCGGCCCCCTGGCCGTCTCGTCCCCCCCTAGCCGGCCCCCTGGCCGTCGCGCCCGCCCCTAGCTGGCCCCCTGGCCGTTGCGTCCGCCCCTAGCTGGCCCTCTGGCCGTTCGCGCCCGCTCCTAGCCGGCCCCGTGGCCGTCGCGCCCGCTCCTAGCCGGCCCCCTGGCCGTTCGCGCCCGTTCCTAGCCGGCCCCTCCTTGCACCCGCCCGGCCCCCTCTACCGCCCGCCCGGCCCCTGCTAGCGCCTGCCCAACCTGTTGCGCCCGCCCGTCCCACACCGCCCGCCCCGGCTCCACCCACCGCCTGCCCGGCCCCGATACGCCTGCCCAGCTCCTGCGGCCCGCAGCTCCCAGTGCCTGCCCGGCTCCTACGGCTCCGTGTCTTCTGCTCGGCACAGTTCCTCGGGTCTCCGGCCTCGTGTCTTCTGCTTGCCAGCGCTTGAGCGTCCTGCAGACGTCCCCTTGGAGCTGTGTTGCTGTGTCCCTGTGCCGCTGTGTCGTCAGGAGCTGTGCCGCTGTGTTACAGGATCGAATGTGTCGAGGAAAGATTGCACTATCGATCAGTACAAGGCGCTTTTATACTTCCTGAGTACATCAGGTAACCAGGTTTATCTTATCCTAAGGGAATAGACCCTTCTAGAAGATAGAATCACCCTGCGTATAGCCACGCGAGGCTATTGGCTTTAAGGGATTACGGCAGGATTACGCTAGATATAGCGCCCAGTACATCCCAAGCCTGGTCAGTGATATAACTATTATAGCAGGATAAACCAAAGGTTAATGGAAAAGGGAGAATAGGAAACTCAATGAGATGAGATAAAAAGATAAATGAAAATAGGAAGGAAGTAGAAAAAAGGCCAAGTGGTGTAACGGGGTCGTACTCTCACACTTCCCCCCCTCAAAGCTGGGTGGTAGAAGTAACACCCTGCTTGACAAGGTAGTCATGCAGAGGACGACGGGCGTTACCCATGTCGGACTCAGGTACCCAGCTGTCCTCAGAAGGATCATAACCCTTCCAATGGATGAGAAGCTCCACGGTGCCATTCCGACGACGGCGGTATGCGAGCACAGACTCGACCTCGTACTCGGGTTCATTCTGGACGAGGACGGGCGGCGGCGGCGGCGGTTGGCGTCCGACGAAGATCGTGTTCGGATCCCGATAGGGCTTCAGAAGTTGGACATGGAAGGCGTTGTGAATCTTCCATGTAGCTGGCAGGCGTAAGCGAAAGGTAACAGGAGTGACCTGTGCTTCAACGAGAAAAGGCCCGCAGAAGCGAGGTCGAAGTTTAGATGGCTGATGTCAAGGTTGCGGGTGTCAAGGAGCACCTGGTCTCCCACCGTGATGGTGTGGTCGTTGCGATGGCGATCGGCCTGGCGCTTCTGTTGCTGTTGAATGTCGAGGAGGCGCTTGTGGGTCCGATCCCAAAGCTGATGCATGGTTGTGATAAAATCATGCGCAGGTTGGACTGTAACGGATGCTGTCGGTTTTTGTGGTGTGAGTGGGTGGCGTTCGTAGCAAAGGAAGAACGGCGTCTGTCCAGTAGCGGCATGTGTAGCATTGTTGTAAGCAAACTCTAGTACGGGCACGTGCAAGTCCCATTTGGAGATCTCGTCTTTGCAGGCTGCTCGGAGGAGTTGCTCAACAATTTGGTTGAGGCGCTCGGTCTGTCCGTCTGTCTGCGGATGGTAAGCTGATGACATGGCGAGTTTGGTCCCGAGGAGAGACATAAGTTCCTTTCAGAACTTGCTGGTGAATTTAGGGTCTCGGTTGGAGATGAGTGTGGTTGGAATGCCATGCTGTGAGATGATGTATCGAACGAAGAGTTGTGATGTTTCTTCGGCGCGTGCTGTCGTGTGTGTCGGGATGAAGTGTCCCATTTTGGAGAATTTGTCGATGACGCTAAGGATGGCGTCATGACCGCAGGTGGTAGGTGGTAACCCGGTGATGAAGTCCGGGCTAACCACTTGCCATGGTTGTTCTGGGACAGGAAGAGGCTGCAATAGTCCCGCCTTTTTTTGCTTGCTACTCTTCATCCGCTGACATGTATCACACGAGGTGACAAATTTCTGGACATCTTCTGCTAAGTGGGGCCAGTAGTAGTGTTTGGCGATACCGGTGAGCGTCTTGTTGCTACCGGAGTGTCCGGCATAGAGGACGTCATGGTATTCTTCGAGTAGTAACTGGCACAAAGGAGGGTAATTGGGTACCCAGATTTTCGTTGATCCTTTTCGGTACGCGATGTCACTGTCCCACTGTAGCAGATGTTGCTTTTCTGCCAAGGGGATTTCGGGGTCGATGGCGTACCCGTGTGTGAAGAGTCCCTTGAGGAGTGGATTCATCCCGTCGATCTGAATAGCGGCAACGTATGCAGGTCGCCTGAGAGCGTCTGCTTTGTTTTTGTGGCCGGGCTTGTACACGATGCCGTAGTGGAAGTGTGTCTCGAGGAAGTCGATCCATCGGACCTGCCACCGGGAAAGGTTGGGTTGTGTCTTCAAATATTTCAAGCTGCAGTGGTCGGTGTAGATGGTTGTTCTTCGTCCTTCAAGATAACATCTCCACGCTTTGAAGGCGATGACGATGGCAAGGGCCTCTTTGTTGTGTATCGGGTAGTTTAGTTCTGCCCCGTGCAGTTTCTTGCTGAGGTAGGCGATTGGTTGCAGTCCATTCCCCTGGTCTTGCATCAAGACTGCTCCTACTGCCTGGTCGCTGGCGTCAGCTTCGATGACGTAGTCGCGTTCGGGATCTGGCAAGATGAGTGCTGGTGCGGACGTGAGTGCTTGCTTTAGCTGCTCCACGGCTTCCTGGTGCTTTGGCTCCCATTTGTAGGGCGTGTTCTTCTTCAGCAGATTCGTGAGTGGCGCTGCGATTTTTGCATACTGTGGTACGAACCTGTTGTAGTAATTAGCGAAGCCTAGGAACTGCTGCAACTCCTTCACGTTCTCGGGTGTCTTCCATGTACGTACGGCTTCGATTTTCTTGGGGTCGACGTGAACTCCTTGAGCGCTCACCAGGTGTCCTAGGAGCTGGACCTTCTCAAGGGCGAATTCGCTCTTGGACAGTTTGACGTAG